GAAATAAAGGCAGTTTAAATTTCAACTACTGATGATATTCGTCATTTGAATTCTTACAAACAGGTCTGATTCCGTTTTGGTAAATATTCATGCTTGCTGATGCTGATGTTCTAAGAAACTTGACCGTCCGATTTTTGTCGGACTTCCTTGGTGCATCCCCTGAGGGTTGCCCTAAGCTTCGGCTGAGGTCCCCAATAGCCATCTGATGGTATCTAATTCCCTGCGTAGCGGCAACAACTTTTGAATTAAACAAATGTAGCCACCCATGAAACGCTATTAACGGATTCAGATGGTCCGTCGGCTTTGTCCTTTGAAATACCTGTTGTCAGATGATTGTCCAAGTTCACAAGCGGTCACGGAGTGAATAGCCATCTTGAAAACTTTTATCTCAACGCTGAAGCCTAGTTTCCAGATAGACATAACGGTCGAGAGTGCAGAGACAAACAGTCCCGTACGATGGGCAGTATCGCAACTTTTTATCGCAGAGAGTCGTCAACGCTGACTATGCTCAATTTTACCGACTGTGTCCAGTCGTAGCAGGCCTATGCCTACACAAACGCGCGTTGGTCATGGCTTCTCGAGTACCATCGTGCGCATCTTGCCTATTTTCTCCCTGAGAAGAACAAATTAAACCAAGTCTCAAGGTAATATGAAACAGCGAAGTAGCAGCTTAGATCCAGAAAAAAATGGTGAAACCTCCGACACACAGCATTTCATACAAACCATTTCAGAGTTTCGGGCATCATTGTGTTTACTTTTTGCCGATTGACGTCACTCCCCGCGACTGTTTGCGTCTCGATACTTATTGCTGCGTTCTTTAAAACTAGACTTCATCGGCACATTACAGACGGCCTCACTTGAACGCTAATATTCTGAATTAGTCCTGTTCGGGTTTTTTGTCTACATGATCCCTTGTTGGTTTTGTTCCCTTTGACTTTCGGCAGATAGGTTATGGTAGGAATATCCCATGCCTGTGTCGGAATTACCTGGCTGTGCCCTAAACTTATGCACAAGTCTATGGTGGTGGTAGTGGCAGCGACTAGTTCCCATTGAGTTGTGTGTAATTTCAAGCCGCAGCCAAGTGATTCGGACCCAGCCTTTAATTATATTGACTTGACTTATTCATCAATATCGTAGATACACGCACGACCAACGAATCACCTCGCTGGTTGGCGTTCGCATGTGGTTCTAAGCTTTAACCCAGTGGTGAACAACATTTTGCATTATATTGCAGATATAGCTGAAGACATATCAAAATAAAAGGGCAAGTTCTTTCTCCCTCGATGATTAAAATTCCACTTTTGAGAAGTGAATGGTCTGTCTTGGCTCATTGTTGTCATTTTTTTCTCTGAAAGTCCTCGTGTGGGGCAGCAAACATATCAGACAAAATCGTGATGTACAGTCGGTGGCTTACTTTTTTTTACAGGCACATAGATCCGACGAGTTTTTTAATATCACTCCGCGCTCATTATGTACTCACGGTCTCGATCTCACGGACGCCGGTAATGCATTTAAATGGGGCATGACAAACGCAAACTAGTTACGACGTCAAAATATAATGATTGACTGTGCACACGTACCTGTCCAAATTTCATTTTATAGCAGTCTTTAATTTGATATGATGTACCAACCTCAAGCACGCGTCCTCGCGACCACTGCTTAAACAGATTCCTAGCTACCGTACAACGTCGCAAGCTGTGCAGAAATTTCATCGCTTCAATGCCAGCAGGGTATATATAGAAACTTGTAAAGAGCCAATATCAACGTGATCCATTGGGAGTGCCAAAATAATTCAGTTTTAATTTAATCTGAAAATTGTTAGATTTGGTAGTTGTGCCGTGCCAAATATCACAGTTTTACAACAGTATAGTACTGAGCAACTACTACATGTCGAGCCTCCATAGTTACAGAATGTCCAGAAAACGGCTGTGGAAACGTTTACGTCATATGGAACGCGGCACTGCCATTGCCACAGATGGACATTAGATTAAGTTACTCCTGAAATACCACTAACCTTAATAATGATCGTGTCATCTAGTCGATTTCGGCCTCGTCTAGCATAACATTGATTCCTAGTTCTAGACTGTAATCGTGCCAACGACGGAACCATCGACGGTGGGCCTTCTCTTAAACCGGTACTTCGTGATGAATTGAATATTTCGTATTTTCGGTCAGGGATTCAAACTTTCACACGGTGAAAAGAAGGCTGGCTTTCATGTAGTTCTACGCCAGCATTTTGGACTGAACTTTGTTTCTCAGACTGCACAGATGCTAAACTCCTCGGAGAAAAGCATGAAAATGCCCAGCAGATCAGCGTTCGGTCGCCCATATTGATCTGGTCTGCGGTCGGACGGCTTCGACCAGCATTGCCGACGGGCTGGTATTCATGGCTCTTTTCCGATCGTATCTCTGGCACAAATAAACAAGGTACGGCGATTGTGTCTTCTTCGATAATATCACCCTCTCAAGAAATACAACGTGGTGTGGAATATTTTTCACTATTAATGGGGAAAACGTCGACACAGTCACAAACCTGAATACAGTCGCACGTCTTTCTTGTGTTATACTAGAGCAGAAAACAGTTGTCAGAATCCCCACTTCCACTGCCGTGTCTCAAAACTGAAGAGTGACTGGGTTAAGCCGATGGCTGAATTTTTCATGTTAAGTTGGCCAACAAAAGAATGTTCTCACGTATAAATTCAAATATAAATGAAATAAAAGCAGTAGATGTGACTGTGTGATAAACATAAGAGATAGTTTATAGAAATGTTGCTCAGCACTGGAGTACATCCTTAAAACCGTGTGTTCAAGGGAGGCAAGTAGATCATCTTTTCCTGCAGCTTTGTTGATTTTTTTAAACATGAATGATCATTGAAGCTGAGGCGGGAACCAGGCGGTCGGTACTACCTTTTAGTTAACAAGGGGCAAATGTATACTTGAAAACAGAGACCCACCGTACGGGTATTTTGCAGTGACAAGTTGGCCAAACGTCTGTGGATACAGACATGTACAAACAATCACATTTCTCCGTCTCACACAAGTTTTTGGACAAAAAAAGATGGAAATTAGTCGTGAGAAGCTAGTATTTGTTGTAAAACAATGCCCTTTTCCTCCATTAAATTCCTGCTCCCGCGCAAAACTAGCCTCGGAATGAATTATGCGGAAACCACATAGGTAAAAGAATTTTCATTTTGCAGCCTGTATCTGGTTAGGAGCAATTATTGGAAGCAAAGCTGAAATATCAGTACCGCTGGGAGCCCGCCGGATTAGTGATGTGGGTATTTCTGCAACTCGCTAGAGATGCCGTTACATATTTACATAATGGATCAGGAAAATCATTGGTTTCTATCAGTCGCTGTTGTCGGCGACCATCCTCTTCTGTTGCCAGTAATCACCGGTTTTATCGTTGCGAGGTTTTCTATTAATATTTTCTCATAATCACTTTCCCCTGCAGATGTCTGTTCTGGGTCGGCAGTGAGTGAACAGAGAGACCGTGCCCGCATCGTCGAGATGGATTTGAAAGGCAGTTGTGACCGGTGGCTCTTGGTAATGTTCAGCAACGCAAGCAATCGACGACAGGGTACTTGGCGCATTATTTGAAAAGAGCCAGTTTAAGGTTCTTTTTATGTGATGTGCTGCTTTCAGAAGAATTTTGGTTGCAGTGTACTAGAGAGTAAAGATATTATTTTGTGAGTTTGATGTCGATTCGTCACTTTGGATTTTTGAAAACTGTACTGAATAGTGGATGCATGGTTTTGTCAGGCCTACAATGGCGACCACGGGAGTAAATCCAACCTTAGTGACCTACATTTATGACTTCATCAATGAAACAGTTGATTTCTACAATGATACCACCAACGCGACCTCAGCCTCAGGCGAAGGTGGGACTGCTGTTATATATCCTCAAAGGAGCGACTACTATGTCCGTCTCGTTCTCTACGTCATAATATTCGTAGTCTCCACCATTGGCAACATAGCGGTCTTGTGTAGTCTCCTCCGCGGCCGGCGCAGAAAGTCTCGCGTCAATCTGCTGATCCTGCATCTGACGGTGGCCGATCTCATGATAACACTCTTCAACATCCCCATGGACTTCTTCTGGATTTTGACCATCCAATGGTACGGAGGGGATGTGATGTGCCGCCTGTGCATGTACGTGGCCATGGTGGCCATGTACGCCTCGCCGTTCGTCTTGATCGTCATCAGTTTGGACCGGTTTGCCTCAATTGTTTTCCCGCTGAGCGTCCGGCAGGCGGACATACGCTGTAAGGTCATGCTCCAGGTGTCGTGGGTTGCGTGTTTCGTCATTAGCATTCCTCAGGTGAGTCCATCAGCGATGCAGTCGAGTACTTTTTGAGAACCAAGTTCTCTACCAAATATTTAACTAGTTAGGAGGGAACAAAGCTGAAGTACATCGGCATTTGATGGTACGTGCATAAAGGTAAGATTACAAAGCAACGTAACGACTTCACACCATCACTGTTTGATTAAAATTAACTTTTTAGGACAAAAGTACTCGGAAGGTACTCGGCCGAGTACTTTCCGAGTACTTGTCTCCTTAAAACTTAAACTTTACACAACTGGGAGTGTCTGAAGTCTAACATTTATTTTGTAATCTTACCTTTGCACATTTACCATCAAATGCCTGTGCACTCTGGCTTTATTCCCTTTTACCCAGTTCAGTATTTTGCGGAGAATGTTGGTACTCGGAAAGTACTCGACTACAACACTGGAGTCCATCGCCACTCACGCAGTTCCATTCATTATTGGCTTCTACATTGCCATTGTCAGAGTGGTCCTCTTTGTTGTCCCATTTCCTGCCATGCCACTTTATACCAAGCCGGGTTTTCAATGCCATTTTGTCGTCTCCGCAAATATACCGCCGCTTGCTCCATCGTTGCCATCCACCCGATCCGACTTCACACCGCTGTTAATAAACGAGGCTTTTACAGAGAAATGACCCTATGAAGAGTGAGGCCCAAGTGTAATATTACCAGATAGAGAACGTGTTGAAGTGAGCTTTTGACCTTGAATAAAAATACGTCAAGCCTACAAATTCGGCAGTAAATACAATAACCTTTCAATCTTTTCCTATTGGAAAAAACCCTGAAAAATAGAAAATAAAGATATTCGAACCAAGAGCACCAATAATACTAATCCCTTTCCCTATACGCCAGCCGGCTCGATCAAATTTCTTCTTTTCCTTCTTCAAACTCCAAATAATGACGCCCAAGTTGTTACGTCATCCGTGTATTTCGGCCCAGTTCCGAATGTGATCAGTTTTCTGTAAAAGACACGTTTGTTGACAGCAGAGGGTAGTTGGGATCGGGTGCAGCCATCACACTGCATAATTATCACCGCTAGCAACATCGCTCTGACATCCCAGTACCACGTGACGATGTATTATTTGCAACCTCAACTCACCACCATCACTTTACTTTAAAGAGGGCGTTCCTTCCCTTCCCAATATCACCTTTCCCGCCTATATGACTTCCCTCAGTACGCGTATATCATCTTCATCCCGGTGCACAGCAAATCGTCGGTAGAAGCTTTGAAACGAATTCCATAAGCTGCGATATGAAAACCATCACCTCTTCTGTTTCTGCTTGGGCTGATGAACGTTCAATCTAATACTGAATGAAAATTTTCTTTCCATTGCTTGAATGTGAAACATTTTACTGCACGGACCCCGAGTAAATCCATTTGGTGTATGTAAAGTCGACGATTAGCCTGGTGTAAAATGGCGACACCATGCATGCCATGGAAAATGTACTAGCCCTTACAAACTGTAAAAACACGGAATTTTATAGATTTTCAACTTGTTTTTTGTACCCACTTTTAGCATGGTTAACACACGACATGATTAGATATTGACGCTGAAATGCGTTCCCTGATGTATTTTAAATACGTCGCGAAACACGTTTCAATTTCAACGAAATTTTTTATTTTTGTATATTTTTTCATACGAGATATTTTACGGCTGAAAATGTGCATTTGATGTTTTCAAACAATTTTAATTTTTTTATTCCAATAGGAACACCATCTAGACAAAAAAATGGAAGAACTAGACCCCACTCATTGCTTGGAAAAATTAGAAAAAAGTGGTCCTTAACTCTTTTTGTGTGGTGTCATTTAAATACTCTTTCATATGCTACACATTTACCTATGTGAAAACCTCGTAGCATTTAAAAGCATTTCTAAATGCATTTTAACGTAAAAATTTAAACATTAGGTGATTTTTTTTAAAAGTGGGTATAAAAAGTATTTAGGAATGTATTTTTTTCTCTAAGCGCCGTTTTTCACACATTTCTGGCTCTCCTAACCTTGCTCCCATTACTACAATCTTCCTGGGCTAATTTTGATTCTCAAAATGCCTTGCGCAATCCCGACGGCAGATATATACAGACGCACTGAGAACGGTTTCTACCAATGAGTCTCAGGTTTCGACTGAAAATCCCCCCCAAAAAAAAAAAAAATTGGCAGATCTGTTCCTGTATTTGCATTTTACGTGAGCATAGATTAAAATCTATTTTGTCGGTGAAATTTCTTTAGAGTGCTAATACTTTTCCGTTCTACGAATGCTTATGACTTATGAAAATGATGGGTTATGGTCACACAACAGCTTCTCGTTCATGAGGTGATGGCCCATTATGACGATCCAACCTTCCTACAGTGTGTTGACTACAACTTCATGACTAAATACCGAATATTGTGGCACATGTACCACTGGTTCGTCGTCTGTGCAACCTACGTCATTCCACTGGCCATAATCGTCGGTTGCTACACAGCTATTGTCATCAAGATCTTCGGCAGCAGTACCATCCGGAGCTGTGAGTAGGCATTTGAAAAGTAGTTCCCTATTGTGATACCAGTTATGATGATCTTGTTGTCACAGATTTAGTCGCAGAAAGTCAGGAAGATTATGCAATCGATTTATGGAAGCATGTAGTTTATTGAAAGCCTAATGCTTGCATTCCATGTGAACGTCTGGGTTTTAAAATACTGATGAGCTAGTAATGGATTCGACCCTTGATTTTGTTTTGATCGAGCTGTTTGTGAACATACGAAAACGAGTCGCCTGAACTCAGCCAAGATGTCTGCGGATAAATCGATGTTTTGATTGTTTCATAATTGAAAATGTAGGAATAATTTTTCGGGAAAGATTTTTAGGATCTGCCATACGCGGTCACCAGTTTAAAATATAGTTTGGACTGGTCTTGCTCAATTCTAACAGATTCGGGTAACAACGGTGATCGAATGACACTGCGGCGCTCAGGGGCCGACACTCTTCCCAAGGCTCGCACGAGGGCGCTCGTGATGACCGGCGCCATAGTAACGGCCTTCATCGTCTGCTGGACCCCGTCCAATATACAGGGCGCCATCATCCACATCAAGGAGAAAGAAGATAAAACCACACCTATATGGCTGCAGCAAGTCTTGTTGGCATTGCTTTTCTCCAATGCCGCCATCGACCCCATCGTTTATGGCATGTTCACTGTGGATTTCAGGCGGTACTTCCCCGGATGTTTTGAGTGGCGGGGTCGACGAATTGTCTGGCGAGGTCGAAAGATCAGCCGTCGGTCGACAACCTCGTCTAACAACTACCCACAAATGACGTATGCTTCATCTACTCGGTTAGGTGCCCCCACTGGGTCCACGGCCAATTATCACGTGATAAGTGCAGACACTAGACAAGTAGCTGAGAGATGTGTCTAGGTGTATATTTTTGAGAGAAAATGGTAAAATCTTGCTTAATGTAACATATCCCGCTAAGCCTGTAGGCCTAGATGTAGCCTAAAATAAGAAGTTAAATCGACTTTTACTCAGTGACCAAGCTTGCTGCCTTCGCAAACCTGTGGAATGGCGAGAATAAGTGGCTTCGACTTGAATTAACATGAGTGGCTCCGGAAGCCACCCACTGGTGGATAGCGATGGCGGATGCATCATCCTACGGACGCGCGCATGTCTCTCTGCCGGCAGACTGACGAACGCAGCCTATATGTTTGCCTGATGGCCTTAAAGGCACATGTGATATTGCAAATTGCCGAAGGGAAAATAAATTGATAGAATGTTAACGATTTGTGAAGTCATTGGTGAAAATCCTGGGTCTTTGCCCGTCCCTTCAGGGCTAAGGTAGCCCTCAATAGCTGGCTGCTCTATCTATATCGAGTGCAGTGTACTTTATGTAATGTTGTATACATCCACAATTTAAGCAGAAATTTGGTGACCGTCAGCAGTTGCTGAAACGTCGTGTAAGCCGACAAAAGCACGGAGTTGGAAAGTGAAAAAACTGACAATGAAACCTAAAATATTGTCCGCAATACCGTGGTAGTGTTAGGTATTAAAATCGTACCCAGTTATATAACTGATTAAATACCAGTCGTACATAACTCTTAGTCTTTAGCTGTTATTTGGTAATGTAGTTTGGAAACAGTCCTTCTCGTGATATGCGCGTTAGGCACCACCCCAGTCTCCAATTTCTGGTCAGCGCGCGGTCTCCATAGACCTGCGCGTCGCCAAGTTTGCTTAGTACGATGCCAAAAAGCTGCCAAACTTGCTTGATTGAATGGAATCCTACTACTGCGTAACGTTAAGGTGTTTTAGATTGGTTGCGGTTGAGTGGTGGACTGAGTCGTCGTCCTTGACGAATCTCTTCCTGATGCTGCTACGTAGGCAGGTGTTTGTGTCTACGGTGACTGACCAGTCCTATGCGCGAAGCGCAGATCCTGGCGAAGTCCGGGCAGACGTTGATTTTGCGACCCTGATAATGGTGAAGGAGGCCGACGACGGACAGCAGCATGTCGCACTTCACGCCGTTCCTCCAGGTGCATGGGCTACTCTGTTGTTCTCAAAGTGAAGGAGTCCCTCTAGGGCCCATACATTTAGCCAGGCACTCTTTTTCATATGACGTCATTTCTGTATTATACATCTACATCTGGGAACCAGACAAACGAGGTAATCTAATGTCCTGTGTACATCTACAAGTTGGAAACGCTTTAAAACAGCAACTAGTGGAGGCCCAGTCTATTTCAGTGTTGGTAACGGTGGTATGGTGGTATGTACAAGCACATATGCATGATATAGGAAAAAAGTTTTTTTTCGGGGGGGGGGGAAGCCGCGTCGTTACACCACTTTTGGAGCCAGCCCTGACCAGAAACCGGAGACCTTTTTTGCCTTAGCAGTTTTAAGTGTTTCGGAGTCGGTACGGTACTCCCTCACAACATCTCAAAGTATCAAATTTCACTCCGTCGGGTCAGTTCAGCAAATTGGATAATCAGTGATGGAGGTTTTTTGAAGACGCCGTGTAAGTCAGCTCTGACGTCTCAGGCGAACTGAAAAGAAGATGGCATTTTGTTCGGGAACAAATTATCAATGAAGTATTTTGATTTTTCAGGAAATCACGCTATTTCCGGGAAGCGCCGCCAACGTAGGGCTTGATAGCTCAGTTATTAGAACACTAGCTGGTACCGTGTTCCGGAGGTTGCTGATTCAAATCCCGCTCCAATCACTTGAATACCTAATTGAAAGAAGGGCCCTTGTTTGAGTTGAAAAGAAAAAAAAATGAATATTTTTGAAGGAATTGCAAACGAAATCATGTAACTCTCTTAGGTCAAAATGGTGGAGTTTGGTCTTTCTTTTAATGAAGTATTCAATTTCTTGTACATCTTTATAATTAATATGTAAACACTATAGTCAGTTTTCCCATATAATTTATTTGATGATATTTGTTTGGTACATTCTAAGAAATTATATTTTGAGGTCTCGCTCAGCAAAAACTGAAGTAATGAAATAAAAGTGTGTTAATTCAACATACATATATACTTAACACAGTGTGAAACGAAAACAACCCCGAAGAGACCAGACTGATTGTAAAACCTGTTAGAGACAGGTTTGATGGACGTTAATGACAGGGCTTAGGCAGATGTTAAACGCCAGTCACGTGAAGCCAATCCAATTGTTTTTAGTGCTGTCCCGATTTAGTAGATCCAGCCACTTTTTAAACCAAACTGCTATCACAAAAATATTGACCGGGGTGGCATTGTAAAACTAACCCCCGAGGTGATCCATTCGCCTCAGGAAAATAGAATGCTTCATGGATCACTGAGGCTTTACCATACCAAGAGATAAAGCAGTCAATAATTGTTTTATAACTAAATAATAAAAAGTTGCAACTCAAGTCACGAGTTACAAAAATAGCGACCCGAATCCGACTTGAGTCCAAGTCAGCTGACTCGGGTCTACAAATCTGATTGTTCTTTTCAGAGCAAGGCTGCACGTGTATAGTATTTTTGGAGTGGAGGTACAAAAGTAGCAAGTATCACACTTTCGGCCAATCAAGATACAGAATCTGTGAGTGAGGTGTTATAAAAGTAACTAGTCTACCGGCAAATTGTATATACAACTTGACTTGCATTGTTCAATTCTTAAAACTAATTATATGTATATTCAGTTACTTAAACTGAAATATTTATCGGAGATGTAAGTATTGAAGCATATATTGTTGTAATGCACCTGTACAAAGAAATATCACCGGATATAGTCGTCACTCAATAAAGATTTTATAATATGTAAGTTAGAGCTTATAGTATCGTCAAGGGGGAGAACAAAGGACGTGGGAAATGAGATATGAGATACGAAAGGGAGGCAGTAAAAGGTGTGAATTAATGGATACTTAAAATAAACGAAGCCTGTAAGTGCATGATTTTTGTGGAAATAGTCGATTTGTTTGCCGATCACTCCCACAGCCTTAAAACCTAAGCATTAACAGAACCAGCGGTGAAAGTCCCTGCTGGTCTTAGTGTACGCTAACCTTACATATCTAGTGTGGACTTCTCTTGTGAACAAAAGATGTCCACACGATGCAGGAAAGGAAGAGGTTGTGTGGATTTACACACGTCCACAGGACGTTTCCCCTTCTCTGAAAAAGACGCTTAGAGGCATTTTGGGGTAGGGGTCGTCTGTCATTAAAGGAAGAGGAACAGTCAAGGAAACCTTTTACAAAAATCGTGTTCCCAGTTCAAGAACGAGAATTTTCACTGAGTTTCCTTAACTGCACGAAAATAAAGTAATGTCCACAGTAGGTATGTAAGGTAAATGTTGTGTGTGAGTTTGTTTCTGCATTCAATTGGGGACCCTGAACAATAGAGGACAATAAGGTCCCCGATTGACAGAGGATCCCCGATTGACAATTGTGTACAAAACATATGGGTCGTCTTCTGAAAAAGTTGAAGTGCAAACAAAAGAGGAACAATAGGGGGTCCCCAGTTGCAGGCAAATACACACTTGAGTGTGTGTGTGTGCGGGGGGGGGGGTTAAGACCAAAATCCCAACATTTTCCAGCCTTGGAAATTCGACAAGCAGGTGGATGGATGGATGGATGGTGGTGGGTGGGGGGTTAGGTCGACATCAACCTGTGCTGGGAGCGCTGATTGGTATACCTACATCTTGTATGCGAGCTTTCGGTATACGGCTTATTAAGTATTTGCACCAGTTGTTCCCCAATTTGGCCTTTGGAAGTTCGAAATACATGTAATGTATGAGTTTGGGGCGATACTATCTCTCTGGGATTTACGCCTATAAACAGGTCATAGTCAGGCAGAAGCGCTACTTCCTCTGTGGGACGGTCTTTCAAATTGGGAAAACGTTAAAAAAACCTTAAAATATGACAACTTAAAATGTAAAAAAAGGACGTTCGGCTCAGTTTGTACCCAGCTTATCGTTAAAACGTTCAGTGCGCACACTGGAAACACAAAACATGAGGTTATAATTCTCGAAAGGAATTGAACGTATAATGTTTTTTCCGTTTATAGGTTAACCGTGTTTTTTTGAAGTTTTGACTCTTTTATATCAGCTTAAAAAACACCAATCCTGGGTAGGCTTACCTGTAAATGGACAGTGGGCGCAATTTTCTTAGCAAGGGAGGCTCCTTTGTGGTCGGAAATGAATTCGCTGGCTCACGAACGACTGTGATATGACGCGCTACGGTCGCATCGCTACCAACAAAGTGAACACTCCCTGCGAAAATGACTCTTTTCAACCGATGAGGGGGTGCTTCTGCTCAGGGCGGACAAGACGTGCATTGTGAAGTATAAGTAGGTTAGCGTCTAAATAAAAAAGGATTTATCATGAAATCTTACATGCAAAAGAGCCTGAGTGATAAAATCTCCCGAATACTTTTGTCGAGCGCCCTCCATCAATGACACAATGGAAAAACAGTTGCGAAAATTAAAAGATGATGTCACGTGAGATTGGTCTAGCCCCATCCCCCCAAAAAACCTAAAAGGCTCTAGAACCGCTCCTGGAGTAAACAGGGAAAAAAAATTAAAATACTGATTTAAGATTATTATAAAAATACCCGACATTATTTTGTCAAGGCCTTAAGCAATTCTCTGGCAGACGTCCTTTGTACATTATCCTCTAAATTCTCCTATTTAGACAGGCTGAAATTTAGACCTACTGTCATTTGTAAGTTGGAGATCCTTCCCGTTAGTGATTCGCGACTGAAAGTTCTTTCAAGGACTTTCCAAAAGGGAAAAATGATGACGGGCAAGCACGTGCTTCAGATTTCTCCAAAAATAATCTCATTGAATGGTTCCTGATGTCACTTAAATTTAAGAACTGTGTGCCACATGCAAATAAAAAGTTCGCGTTGGCCGTTGAATCAAACTCTGTTCAAGACGCGAGACGAAAATCGCCTCCCGCTTGATCGCATCTGAGCGATGATGAGGTTTATTATCGAGGTTACAGATGTAGTCTTGGAGGTTAAGACCATTGCTCGTCGCAGGCTGTGCAAAACGGGACAGATTAATGACTTTATCGCGTTCAAGAATGGATCTGCCGCCTCGTGATGGAGACTGGTGGACCGCTTAAGGATGTTCATGTAAGAGAGCTTGATGGATTTTACTGAATGGTTTAGTCCCGCCTCCCCAAATACCAGAGGTGTGATATAAATGACTTTTGCAGCAATGAAAGATGCAATCAATGTAGATCAAAAATGATACTTCCGAGTTGTGGCCTTAAAGCCCCATTTTAGTCATTCCTTAAAGAACCGCTGACTATCATCCCAGTACGTTGCAATATGTCGAGGTTTATCTTGGGCGGTAAAACTATAATTCACGCGTGGCTTCCAGTCCCCGAAGACCGGTTGGTGTCATGGACGGTACTGTTTCCAATTGTGCCGTGAAGGTGTGCCAGCATTTCAGTTTGTCTCCGTTTTGCTTTGATAAGCATGGACTCTTTCTCAAGCTTCTTTTGTCTCCTCTTGAGCATTTTTTTTGCACACCGTCTCTAATGTAACCTGCGTTCGGCCTATATCTGTCACAAACTGTGACCTTCCTTTTTGTCCTCTGTCACAATGACTATGATCTTTTCCTTTCCGAGTTTTGACGATTGCCACCGATCCCTCCTCTGTGCCGGAGGGTTTGGGGATAAGCTTTTCTTAGTGTGTATCACGCTATAATAGATCTTGCCCATTAGATGTTTTAAGAGCGGAAGCAATTTACATGAAAAATCAGAGGCTGTCCAGCTAGGTGATGCGGTACAGTGTGTGCACGTAATAGAGCGTTGCTTTGGCCTTCTGTAGAGACGAATCGTTGACGTTACCGAACCTGCGCCTGACTTTTAACTACGTTTGTTTGGAAATGCTCGCTGCGTCCTTTTCGAACGACCGTGCACCCGTAGGATCGAGGGTGGTACTGTATGTCCCAGTTTCTTTGCAGTGTTCTGGCAATTTTTCCTTCTACCTTGATCCATGCTTGGTCACATGTGGGACCCATATCTGACTTGACAGCCACTGGCAGACGACCGACATCTGAAAAAGCGCACTCGGCCATGTCCAGGAGTAACTCTCGGTCTGCTATCCCCGAGCTTGATCGTGACTGACCTGCTTTAGATGTTGCCGTCTAATCCAGCCAGGGTTGTGCGAGCCGGATATAGTAATGAAAATTACACGATTTACGATCAGGTGGATCGAATCAGTGTTCCGTGTGTTTTTACTTCAATTACCGGTTCGAGTCTAGAAACAACGTCGTGAAATGCGTTTAAGTTAGCCTACACCATTCCATTTTAAACATTAACTGCAAATTTTAATTCATAATCCTAACACTACCGAAATATCCAGTAACCTTTAAATTGCGTAGGCTACGCTTCTGGAGGATTTAGATTTGATCTGTTGATTATTTTTGTTGGACGACTTTTTACGGTAAAAATAACAATTACAAATGATTTTATTGTTTGTTCTCAAAGTCGTACAACTTGTTTCCGTCTTTAGCACATTTTCTGTGATTCGCCCTTTTATACGTAACACAGACTACGGGAAAATTTCAGTCACGAATAAGTCGAATTTATCAACTGCATTGACAGCGTCATTTTCCAAAATATAGGGGTTTATAGGAGAAGATTAAAAAGTTCTTTATCGTCCATCAATAACTAACTGAAACCCCAAACCTTTGCTGCCATGAATAGGCACTTTATTTAGACTCAGGTCCTGCGTGAGTTTATGCCGCCGCCCTCTGGAGCTTGCTAGTCTCAATTTGCACCGCGAATGGGCAAAGCAGTGTGTGTGGAAAAAAAAAAATTGCGTGTCCCAGCTCTGTGGGTGTGCATGACCAGTGAGGCGCATATATTTCCTGCCACAGGAAAGAATGAAACTTATTGTACAGCCGACTTAATGCTAAATCAGTCAGCTATAGAAACTGCCTCTCCGGTAGGTAAAAAAGGTCAAAGTTTCAACCGCGATGGCGTTACTAAGGGTAACGGGAATGGGAGTTTCTCGTATATGCTCGCGTACGTACTGGCTCCCGCACGTGAATAAAGTCAACCTGAAGTCAATGAGACCGCCATATTTCCTTTAACTTTACGCTGGGAATTTTAGTGCGAGCAGGGTAGTATTTCGGCTGCTCTACACGATGTTGTGGGCACTGGCCCTCCCTGGCCTACTGCTGTCTCGCACCCTCATAGCGAATGGTGCAGTCATACCGACCGGGAGACAACACGACCCATACTCGCCGCTCAGCAACTGTTCGGCGGCGAAGTCGAGGACGACCGCAAAGCAGCCGGACCTCATCACCCGGCGGACTCCAAGACCAAGAGGGGCCCCTCACGGCTGGGATGAATCACTCTCATCACCACTGTCATCATCATCATTTTCGACATTCCGTGAGGAAGCCCTGAAATTACACAACACCGCCAGAAGGAGGACGGAGCCACCCGCTGCCGACATGCCCAGGCTGGTAAGTGAAACGAGAGAAAAAAAAAAACTTCTGCCAAATTGCCATCTGTTCGATTCCTAGGGCATGTTGATGATGGGTCATTTAAACAGACCTGGCAGACTAAAAGCAGTTCGAAAGTCGAAAACATTGTATACGTTACATACAAGTCCAAGTCCCCAATGAACGGGATGTCGTTGGTCATATACAGATATCAGCCACTTACATGTACATTTCATTTTTAGGCATTTCTGTTTTCCATGTGTCCCCCCCCCAAAAAAACCCCAAAACTACCAAAAACCAAAACATGACTACGTTCACTCTCTCGACTAGCAACCCGAAAATTTAATGGTACATTCCACTGTCACTATACTTTAATCCAATAGTTCAACATGGCTATATTTCCCGTCAAATCAATTATTTGTTCAGCTTACCGATATTTCAAACCAAAGACAAGTAGCGAAAGAAGAGCACCAAACGCCCTTTTTATTCTTTTTATTCCTCCTGACAAAAAAATGAGAATAAGATACACTTGATATTCTTTTCCCCACTGAACTGCTGAAGTAATGCGGATTTGTGCCAATGACCGATTGACATGCAAAGCTCTTCAGTCCATGCATCCTCCATCCCCTCGGTCGCATCCGCAAGATTGATGGCTAGAAGGGTGTTTTCATATCGCGACAGCCTAGTCTTCGCTTTTGCACCGTGCGTCCATGACCGCCCCCCTTCCTACGGGTACGGCAATGGCTGATGTTTGTTTTTCGCTTCTCTTGTATTGCGTACATAGAGTCCGTATTCTGATGCCGTTTCATATTCGGCATTTTGTATCTTTATAATGCGTTTTGTATCGCTTGTATATTGAGTTCACTAAGAAGAAGTGACGTATAATAAGGCGGAGGCTGTGCCCGCTTTAGATACTGTCCAAGAAAAAAAGAGTAAATGTTGTCTACCATTGTTGCTAAACTAAGTGGCCTATCTCAAGAAACTTACCTCAACATCGCACCCCCTTCTCACCCCGCAAATTAGACCCACGATGGTGTCACTTAGGAGGGCACACCCCCGGCTTGAGTTCTGTGCACCTATTTTCCCCCCGCTTAAAAATTAGAGAAGGAAAATTCCCAGGGTGATAGTCCGCCTTGATCAGCGTTTTAACTGTGATCGAAGCCATATTGAGTACCCCCTCTGATAAATGAGGGCTCCCCACATGCCTCCCTCCTCACTGCAAAATGTATCCCAGCTATGTCACCGCCCATAGCTCGATAGAGTCTTAATTTTCTCAGTAAGTTTTATAAAATTTAGGTTGTTGAGAATAGAGAGAGGCGTGTTTTGAATATGTTATGTATTACCTGTGAGATTACAAGGAAGCTAACACCGAGGTGCACAATTGACCGGTGAACACACTATTGGTTACATTTTAGTGATACTATCTAACATCGCCACAGAGTCACACACACACTGATCTTTGTTCTCAAGATTAGATCTATCGAGTCAATGGTTTTAGTTAATTGGTGATCCAACGAAACATAGCAACGGCACTTGCACGATGAGTACTGTGTCAGTTAAAGCTGGGGTACTGATGGCATAAAACATGACAGAAGGCATACAGACATGAGATGAAATTTTGGGAAGTTTGCTTTCAGTTCATGTGCTCGTTACAATTCGTTAGGATTCAGAGAAAATCGACACGGAGTTCAAACAGTACGACTCAATGAGATGGGTTTGGAGTGTCTGGCTCCAACAATGTAGACAGCGTCCCGTCGCAAATCTCCGTAATGGCCATATGACTGCACTTTTTTAAGACTGGACTTTATGCTACCCGTATAAATTGCCTAGAAAGCAAAGTCTACCCTCAGCTTCACGCGTGAAGAGTGTTGAAGTCAAAACCCATTCGTCTTGTATATCAACAATCATGAGAGACTGAACCACTTATGGCTGGGGGATCTGAATAACAGTTTCCATCGTTAGTACAGAAAGGTATCATTATCTGGTAACGAGCACTAGCGCTTGTGTATTTTTGTGCCTGCAAAATCGCAAAGTCACGTTGACTTGTAAAGACGGAGTACCAACAGTATGGTTTTAAAGAAAGAAACAGCAAGGATATATTTGAGACACGATCAACTGTTTTATTGGGGTCGATTTGGAGGCAGACAGCATACTTTTTCTTGGCTGTTTGAGGCATTTGGGGCGGATGGCAACCAGGGGCAGTAAGATAATTTGCCAGGGCATATTACCCCACCTTGCCGCTGGGTAAATTTCCTCTCATTTTTTTGTCTGGCAGAGTTGGAGTTCAGGCCTGGCCCGACTGGCCGAGCTGTGGTCCCGTCGCTGCACCTTGGACTACGGTCTGCCGCTGACGCCCGCCCCGCTCGCTTACGACGGCCGCCTACGTCAGAACGTTTGGGCCGGGCCGAGAAATGGGACCTTGGCTGGCGCCGTCACCGCCTGGCGGACCGAAGGGCAGGAGTTCAACTACGGCACTGGCGCATGCTACCATGCCGGTGGATGCAGACACTATCTTACGGTACGATGTGACAAAAAGAAGTCATTATGAAGAGAATCAGTTTCCAAACTTAACTGCCTCCTGGCGCTTTCTGTCACTGGTCCTAATCGGTGATGGAACTATTTATTGTTCAGATCCGAATATTCTACAACTTACCCTTCAACGTCAAGGGCCCTGGTAAAACTTAATGATATTAAAATGAAATCAGGGACTTTAGCAGCATGTTATATCCCTGTTCGTTTTTGACAGATGAAGCTTGTATTCGAAAGACCTTACCTGTTTTTAAGTTCTTGCGGTCTATTGTCTGGTCAAGATATTAATCGTAACCCACTTGCTCCTTTTCAGATGATTTCTGCGTCGGTTCGAGACGTTGGATGTGGTGCGTCTGTGTGTTGTGATGGCGCCATCATCGTCTGTTACTATGGCACCAGGTGCGATCATTTCCTGATTTTCATCATGCATGTCGGAACACCGATAAATCGTCCGTAAAGTTATTTTTCGTCAACAGTACATAAAATTGGAATAGAAGTGTAAAACTAATCGACCCACAGGTAACTTTTTTTTTATTTCCAGAAAAGGTATAAAGACATGATTTAATTAATGACAATTATCCACACTGTGCTACCAGTATTCTTTCTTCGTGTAAATGTGAACAAATATTTTTCCCCTCAATTAATTTTGACGATTGAGTTTGTTTATTACAGCTCAGGATTTGACCCACCCACACCTTATACTACCGGTCCACCATGCACTAAATGTGGGCAAGGAGAGTGGTGTGATGACGGACTTTGCCGTAAGTAGGCCCCCATATAGCTTAATCGTTGGACAAAAACTACTGAATTCTCGATAATGGCCAGTGTAAACGTTTTTGTCTGGACATCTGGCATAGCAGTGCATGTGTCCATTTTCAGATATATGAAGGTTAAAAAACTGAATAAGCCGATTCTGCCATTTTCTGCTTGCAGAAAGTTGATTTTTTTTTATGTTGTGTCACCCGACTAAATGTGGCTTGTGCTTGGTGGATTTTCTAGGGGCGCCTGTAATGGACAACTAAAATCTCAAATAGCTATTAACAGATTACGAGTACTTGGAGGACCAAAACGGAACAACAAAAGTTGTCTTAATATCTGTTAGGATGAATAAAAGCCCCAAAATTTGATACCTAAACCCCGATCCTGGATTTTTGAGAGCAGAAAATGGGAAAATTGGATTGTCCCCTTTTTGGGCTTTATTGTGCCGTGGGATCATTGTTTTATTCTGGTCTTTCATGTCTGCTTGGTCAGTCAACTAACAAATGAACGGAAACAAAATCTCAACGTGATCTTTTGGAATGAGACGAATGACACGATCGAATTGATGTTTAAAGGAACTCAAAGTCAACAGTGGACGAGCGAGTCTGCCGACAAAGACTGCCAATGTGACAAGATGGAGAACGCACCATCAGAAGATTTAGAGTCTGACGACGGCAGCCTGACTTTGGGCTCATCTATCATCCTATATCGTCACCGAAGACAGGCCGTGGCCAATGATTCAAGCACGCCGACTGACTGTGGGCATCTTGGTACGTGAATTTGATCTGTGACCCCATTCATTAATGCATGACCCACATGTTTAACTGAGCCCGGGGTCACGTCATCATCCCACAGTGTGATAATGTTCTCCTTATAATTGACGCTTACCAGTCTGGTGTCATTTTCAAAATTAGGCGTGCAATGAGTGTTTCCTCTCATTTCTTTCTGCCATTTTTTCCCCTTTTGGGTCTTGGGATGGGGTACCCAGGACCACCTAATTCTTGCTTTTGGGAGTTATATTTGTCACTTTCGGCTTTTTGTTTGTGGCAAAATATTTAGCTACAAATGCATGCTAAGAACCTGTCAGATATGGTGGTATGGTAAAAGCTCCTCGAGACACATGCAGAAATATCAGAAAGAGCATGTCGAAAATCCATTTGTTGTCTGAAATCCATCTCAAGCAAGACCCCTACTCTGGAAAACACTCCAACACCAACGAGAAACTTCTTTACAAACCTCCAGAACGTACAGTGCTCACCTGCTCAAAATCTTCCACACTTGTGCTATGCTTTCATAAGATCATACAATCTCCTTAACTCCTCAGATATCCCACTGTGGGTTTTCGTTGGTTTGCTTGTTTTTGTCGTCATGCTGGGCCTCGTGATGGGAATCGTGGGCATGACGGTGTATATTTGCAAGGATACGTGTAGAGCATGCAAGACAAGATGCAACAGGTGTGTGAAAGGGGTTTGTGTTACTCTTAGAATTAATCACAAGGAGTTCCTTTTATAGGGTTTGTCTCATCACAGAGGAATACTTCACAATTACGGTTTGTTGTTAAAACCACTTGTTGCCAATGGCAGTTATCAGTGTTGATGATGCTGGTCCGGGATAATTATCATTTTTTTCTGTTTTGCAAAAGTCTTTAAAAATTCCTATCTTCATTTACTGGACACTTACAAACACGTGAAGGACTGTCTGGTGTCCACTCTAGCCTGACAGATAAATCTAATGACGCCTGAGCATTTCAGCCAGGCCTGCAGCCTTGTAAAAAAAGCCCAGATTGTGCGGTGTTATATAACTGTCTTTTGTTCATGAACCTGGCACAGCTCGCTGCTGACCTCTTTTCAATAGGGGCCTGATTAGCATGCAGCGGTGCTGTGTGGCTCACCGCTGCGGTGGTTGAGAGCTTTTGTCCCCGGTGGTAATCCGCTCGCTCAAAATTCCCCTAACGCTATGCCCTAACCGTGGTATACTGTTTCAAAACAAGGTTAGATTCTCTCCCCCTTTGAGAGTGAAAAAATGTCGTTAATGCCCAGCAGCTTGGTCTTTTGTTCCGAGTACGGTCTTTTGTTACAGGGCCCTGTGCCCCTTGTCCGAGTTCGGAGACTCCGGCCACGCATGTAAAGCATACATGTACGGATCCGGAATCCCCGGCAGGAAGTGATTTTAATGTGATTCTGAAAATTAATGAATGTAAATGAATATACAAGTATTTGCCATTAAAGCATCATTTCCTTCCCGGTGAATTTTTATATGATCACATGTAACGGCCCAAAGTTAGAGTTTGCAAAGACATCTTAGTTTTAATTTTACCGCAAGAAGTATTATATTTGATCTTTGGTTAAACTTTGCCAATTGAATGTGACCTTCAGAAGAGTTGTTGCAAAGGGCAAGCAGCGTTTTTCTGAGTAACAAACTCTTACACCTACACATATCAGCTAAATGTTAAAAACATTCTTCCTTTTAACTTTTTTTAAAATACAACTGTAGTTGTAAAAGAGATAGAAGTGGTAACGAGGAAGGTGGGGGCTCCAGTCCAAGACACAGATGCTGTTGCAACAGGGTAGAACCTGTCGTTGGTGATGAAGCTGTTACCGGTGTTGCCACACAGACTGACCAGCAAACACATGAGGCTGACCAGCAAATACATGAGGAGACTAACCAGCAAAGACATGACGAGGATACCCCGGACGGACCGACTGCACAAGCACCTTGTACGTCAGGTAATGACCAAGCTAGTACCCGTGCCGAGCCATTGGTAGAGCATGTAGAGTTTGGCGTCCAGACCGATCCCCCTCGTGAAGATCCCGGTGCCTGTGCTGAGCCGCTGGTGACAAGTGTGGCAAGTACCAGCACAGAGGAAGTTGAATACAGTGACAAAGACGTGTGCGTAAAACCTGAGAGTGTTGAAGTTGAAGTGCAGGTGTATCCTGAGACTCAAGATGCACAGGTGCAAATGACCTCAGAAAATGGAGGTCCTCCCTCACCATCGTCGCCATCACAGGCATGGGGTGTCTGCTTGAGGAGAGGGTGCACAACCTGCCCCTTGCACACCCACAACCAGCGGGAGGTGCACGCAGAGAGGACAGAAACGATCAGGAGGGTGGTCAGAGCCAATCGGGATACCAGCCTAAGGCCTGGGGATGTCGTCTTCTGAGTCAGTCTGGTGATCAATCTGACAACGTATACCAGGAAGTTTGCGCTGTCCACTGTGTGCATGAACTGTAGAGGGCACTACATAGCAATTTCCAATTCCTTTACTTTGTCTTAATTTATGGCTTTATTTTGAGCTCTACGGGGAGCAAAAGTATACATGCCATCTTCCGTCAATTGAAGGAAATGTTTAAACAACATGGCGACTCACGTCACACTTCGGTACTTCATAATTTCAGAAATTAACCATAGAAACCAAACAATTCCCCAATACGTGTATTCTTATCAGACAAATGGATACTGATGTAGCAGAAAAGAAAACAGCATAGAATATTACAGTCTCAACTTGGTAAGACTGAATTCATAAAATTTACTCCCCGGGATCAAGACAAAGCTGCGATTTGGAAAAGCCCCATGCATTAGGTATGTAGGTTTCGCCAACGATGTGAACAAAAGCCAAGGTATGTCTGTGTCCGACTTGCTTCAATAAATGTTGAATCTGTAATACACATCACTAGCGGATAATGTTCCTGGAGTACATTCCCAGCATTTCGGAATTCCAATTTGTGCATATTTACATGTTATTTGCTGAAAATGGAGGGGGGGATGTTGCCAGAATATTGCCACTGATGATAGGTTCATGATGTAAATTACCTCACTTGAGCTCGAGGCAGACTATTGTACCCCCTTCTTCCCTCTCGCTAAAAAAAATATACGTAGCTGCACAGGAATTCAGGTGTATTGGCCGTAAATACTGGTTCCAAGTCATTAATTAAACTACAGTAGGGTCGAGGGCTCTGTAACTAGTGCCCTAAATACGCTGGGTTGGGAAACTCTCCAGTCAAGGAGAAACCAGAGACTTTGTATGCTCTACAAGATGAAATACGGATTGGTTGACGTTAACCTAGATGAGTTCGTCCAGCCTAACACAAGGAAAACTGGGGGAATGATCAAAATTGCTACAAATTCGTCATAAGTCTAAAGCATTCCAGGACTCATTTTTTGTTTCCACTATAAAAGACTGCAAAATATACCCGCTCTCGTTGTAAATAGTTCTTCACTGGATGTATTCAAATCCAAGCTAAAGCAGCACCGCTAAAATGCTTTGGTCAAGTCATTCCACACGCAGTGCGCTTCTCAGAAGTTAGCGTGGATGTGTCTTGGAGGACATTTTGCTGACCAATTCGGATTCAGATAATGAAAACCATCTAATTGAGTGACAGAGAAAGTTTCAGTCAGATGCTGTGTGTTACTACTTGGTGCTCAAGAAACATTTTTCAGTCCAATTGAGCGACTGTGGTCACGTACGTCCATTATCTGAGTAGGGACTTCAAGTTGAAGACAACTTTTGCCACCTCATCAACAAGTTCTAAGTGGATTTTGATTACATGTAATTTTCCAACGGCAACTGTGCTCATCAAAGTAGGCTTTTCACAAACATTGCAGATATTATAAAAATGGCAAAGAAAACAGAATGCTTATTTTGTTAAGTTAGGTTTACTTGTAACCACCGTGTACATACACCATTTCACCAAATATGATAAATACTGCGTTTATTAATTATGTACATTTTCGGAAATATTAAATAAATTAATACAAAGTATAATGTCTTTCTTTTGAGACTTGATGAACCTTCATACAGTCAATATATACAAATATTTTCAATCTAGAAAACATTTCCATTTGGAAGACAAAATGTAAACTCACCCTTGAAAACAATATGAAACTTCTGTCTGGATGACAACTCTTTTTCAGAAAGCGGAGCTCTTTTAGGCTAAAAGCACTGTTTGACTTAAATGCAATGAATAAGATTGGCTGGGAATCCCAGGGTGCTTTTGTGATGGTACTTGAAAGCTCCACACACGTGTATGGAGATGAATAAAAAGGTTGTCGGGAAGACATTCATTTTTGTCAAAAAGACCGGAATGATTTTGCCAAAGTACTGTTTGACGTGATGTTATTTTGAATAGTGGTAGATAGAAATTTTGCAAGATGCATAGAAAATGTCGCACCTCCGGAATGAAGCAAAAACGTGACACTATTTCATATGATCCAATATTTCAACTGTTTGTATGTTCTTTCCGACAGTTCCACAAACAGGACACAACTTGGGATCTTTGGGTCCTTTCAATGGGTTTTAACCTCCCAACCCCGAACTCCGCTTTGAAAAATTCTCAGACAATGTTTTCACATTTGGCACTTGTTTTAAACAATTTGTCTGAAAACTGTAAAACAAATCTGTTCCTAAAAATCAACTTTACAAAGTAGTTTAGTGTCCCTGTCACACCTTTTGAGAATGACACCCATCTCAGAAAGGTACAACCAAATTAACATAGCACAGGGTTAAAGTTTACAAATAAAGTGTGATATCATCATTAACTTTTTGTTATTAAATGCAGAGCTACATGAATGTGTAATACAATATTAGTGGACTGATTTTTACTTAGCACACAGAGAAAAGGAGAAAAAAAGTAGATGAATCCAGCGACAAGTGTTACTTAACATATGCCAAATGGCCCCATACAATGGCTACAACCATTGTGTTGGGTTCTGCATGGAGCAAATGCAATAGAACTCTGACTCTAAACACTATTTATCAACACTGCTAACAGCCATTGGCGGGGGCCACTGCTAATGATCAGTGATGTTATTATGGTCACTGTCTCTGTCTGTCTGGAAACATCTTAAACTCATAATTCAAACTTCTTTGAAGTTATTAGGATTAAAATAAACTGAAAAGTGAAAAAAAACATTCTGGAAAGACTTCTGCGTTGGTACAAGTTTGTTTGGGGGCATTTTTGTTATAGGAGCATCCGTAGTAACTTCTTTGGTTCGCGTATTTGTTTTACCCTTGAGGGAGAGTCGGTTGGCTGGGCGAAAGGGGGTAAACAAAAATAAACTTGCTTACCCCATATTTTTTCAATCTGTTTTTCTTGATAAGAAAATCCAGAAAGAGTTGGTGACATAACATTTTTTCCCCCTCATTCAGAGCCCGAAACAAGGGCAGGTTGGAAACAGGAACCACAGAATTATTCTACAGAAGCCTTCAATGTTCAGGTTAAATCAGAATGCAATTTCTACATCTTCATCATAATGCTACAAAAATATGCGATAACATTTTTGGATATAAATAAGCCACACTTCTGGAGGAAACAAAACATGACTTTCAGAATAGCAAAGGCACGGATCTTTACTGGTGACACCTTTACCGTCACTTTACTATGGAGGCAGAGAAGTACAAAACATTTGAGTAGAATGGAATGGAATGAATAGTAGACTGGGTGGAAGAATAGAGAAAGACTGACCTTTAACCCTAACCACTTTGTGAATCTAACAACCATATGCATGATTTCAATGGTCCCTGGGGGGCTAGGATTAATGAATACAAAGGTCAAAGAAAACTGTCGGGATCTTGCTGAGGCCAAGGTGTCAAAGACCACGGCATGGCAGTCACGAGATTGAGCAGCCGTCTTTGCCCTCCAGCTTCTGATTGGCTTTCTTTCGGATACTCTCTGCAAACAGACAAATCAGTCAAGTTTTAACACGTTGACTGCCGGGTACGAGCATACTCATAGTCACAGGTGTACTGGGTTCTGCCACAAGTGTACTCATAGGAAATGTTGCAATCCTGTAATGTAAATTGAATACACTGGCATCACTGTAGAACATAACAAATACGCTACTGACAGCGTGGAGGGCATACACCTGTAAAATGCTCATGTTCAAACAGACACTTGAAAGGTACCTGTTAAATATGCGAGCATGCGTACAGCGCTTGGCAAATGGAAACACCCCTTTGAAAGTATGCACGGCAGTCAACGGGTTAATGACCTCTCTCGGAGACACAGCCAGGAATGGCATTCATCGGTTCAGACAAAAGGTGACATCGGAACAGGCAAACACAGCATTAATATGGTCATATCTTGGTTTGACAAGACTGGGAAGGTGTCTAAAATGTGCCTTCACCTTGATGGCACTGGCAACCGGGGGGGGGGAACTAGGCCATCCCCCCCAAAAAAAATTTGATTGCACTTTTCAAATACTAAGAGAAAGACAGATTTGGGTACTATTTCTTTTTTTTGTCTCTGAAGTGTGTAAAAATGCCCTAACATTTAGCTTCTCATTTAAGAAACATTGTAACGATTACACTGAAAAATTGCCAAATTCCCCTCCCCCCCAAGAAAAGAACCAGCAGAGATTAATGTCACAAATACTGTAGAAGGTTAGACTCATTTTACCCGCTAGACTCTTCCTTTCAATTGCCACCAGACCCTCGTACAGTCCTCTCAAAGGATTCTCCTCCATTCCGTGAAGCCAGATCAGCAACATCCGGTACGTGTGTTCCTTCCAACTTTTAGGACCTGAAGAAGCAATAAGCAAACCAGTTTGAGCAACGATAATTGTGACTCGCTCTGTGAAAAAGGGTATAAAGGGACGCTGTGCTATTTCACACTAAGGGCTTTTCTATGTGGAGGGGGTGATTTTTTTGTTCTTGGTTCACTGGCTTCTATTACATCAATACTTCCACAATTCATACACGAAACCCCAACTGTTGCTATGGATATTCAAAAGACTTTCTTCTTGGCTGCTTTCTTTTTCTACTTTCTGTGCTTAAAGGGCTTTATCTCTGAGAGCACTTCTGTTTATGTGTATGATACGATGATGCAAAAATCAGTATATCTCCAGATCTCCACAGGGTTCAAACCTACACCAAATTGAAGCTCATAATGTAACCAATTCAAATGTGCGTGTGGCTCATTTTGAAAAAAAATTCCCATAATACACCCCTGGTCACAATTTAAGCTGACAGCCTTGAAACTCAGGCTGCATCCAAATCTGTTGTCTAGAGTTAGGTCTAGGTCTTCCCTCCATTGGAAATGTAGAGATGCGTAGACATTAGACCTAGCCGTAGCTCTGGAAGCCCGTTTCGGACAGGGCCTCAGGTGTCTCAAACTTTCAGCCTAAATACTACATAAGAATCACACATACATTTTGTCAGTCTGCCACACTCACAGCATTAAGAAGATGGATACTACGTAACTTTACACATTAGTTTTAATAGCAAGGACCTTGACAGCATTATAGCACACAATCGACCCAACCTCGAAGCAATGCCTCAACAGCAAAGAAGATACAGGGTAGTGGGAAATGTGTCATCTGGTAACCTGGCACAGAGACCACACATTCCAATGTCAATTTGTTGCATGAGCTCAGTGTGTACCGTGCCAAACATGCACAAGCCTGTACACAAATGTGGTGAGTTCCCTCCAAAGGAGAGTCATTGATATGAAAAGACCGCCGTGTCTTTCCCACCAACAGAGTGGCTACCTTTTAAGTTGTAGTAACGTCACATGGTGTTAGGGAAATGGCTGGAGGCATTTCAGGTGTCAGATTTAAGATTTAAGTCATGTCTGTCTTGCCTTGATCTGATTACCGGACCCGAGCCCTATTTTAATAACCCCATTTGTGATACCCACATGCCTATTAGATCTGTTATGTCTTTATCTGATTAAACCCGAGCCCTACCCTAATGACCTTATCCATCATACCCGCACGCCACTGAGATCTGTCCTGCTTTGATTTGATTACCTAACTGAAGCCCTACCCTAAAGACCTTATCGGTCATATGTACATGTACATGACCATTAGATCTGTCCTGCCTTGATCTGGTCTGGGCCCGATTTCAGAGAGCTGCAAAGCACCACATGCCGATCAGAAAAACTTACATGCTAGGCAAAAATCAGTCAGAGATGTGGTCAGATGAATATGGCGAATGCCATTTTGGTTAAGCAAGTGTTTTCTGAGCACTTGAAAGTGGCCAAAGCATTAAATTCCTGGAGAAGAACATTCACGTCACATCTTGCGATGACCACCTGATGCCCTGACCTCACCTGACCCTGATCAACTACACGCTGGATGGTGCGCAAACATGATCTAGCAATCTGTGAACACTGCTGCTGGGTTAACCACATGCTGCCGGGTGCTTTTAGCAGTCGTGGTCAAAATAATCCCACCGTGAAGGGGTTAATGGATGTTTACACCCACAGGAATGACTGTTTAGTGGCTACTCTAAGCCGACAGGCAACCTTCATTGATTCCCGAGTATTTCAGCCAGGTCTGCCGCCCTGTGAAGAGAACCCAGAATTGTGAAGTGTTGCATAATTATCTTTGTTCCCAGCGAATGAGAGTGGCATCTGGATTAGCGTGCAGCGGTCCTGCGTCGCTCATCAATGTGGCCCTGGAGCACTTTTGTACGCAGTGCTAATCCACGGGCGTGCTATGCCCAAAACAGTAATATACTGTTTAAAAACAGAGAAGGATTACCTTCGAAAAATGCAAGCCGAAAAATGATGGCAACTAGCAGTAGCTGTTTTGTTCCGAGTACAGTCTTTTGTTACACGAACCAGCTCTTTTGTCAGATTTCGGGCAGCCCGGCACTGCGTATAAACCCATGGTGCCCGAAACAGGGTTCCCCGGCAGCAAGTAGTTAAAATGTCAAGCGTGGCGTGCCTTGACTCACCTTCAGCTCACATTCAAACATACTAATCCCCCAATTTTTTTCCGGTACACACACACACCCCCCTCAGTCCGAGATGTCTGTGGAGGCGGACTGTGTGTTTATAGCATGGCCCTACCACAGAAGAAATTTTTCTCCCTGAGCTTGCCCCGGGATGTTTATAAGTGTGAGGTCATGAGGTAGAAATATTGCACAAGTGCTGCTCAAATGACGACTCTTACCAATCAGTCCGGATTGTCTGACAGTATATCAACAGTAACAACTGAGGGCAGATACGGTTATGTTTAGCCGTTTGCACCTGGTATGACTGCATCGAGCTGTATACGCCCAAGGGAGCTGAGATGTTCAGATGATGTGAGCCCAATGTGCAGGGATAAAGACTTCATTATATCATACACTTTACAAGAACTGTTCATTACTCTTATTATTACAACTGTTCTTTTTTTGAAAGCACGAATTCGGGGGAATAAATAATATCATCCATAAAAAGTGGGTGCTCCAGTACCTGTGTAATGGCTCTGTACGGCTCCGGTCTGTTCAACAGTTGATCTGTTCAAAACCCAGGGTAGAAGATGACCATCCTGTGATAACTACTTCCTGGCCTAACCCAACCCTACCCTTTGATCCAATGACTTCCACGTCCTCATACCTGTGTACTGAGTCTGTACAGCCTTGATCTGTTCAGCAGAGAACCCCCAGTAGAAGACCAGTCGTGTGGCATCGGCTTGCGACAACTGCTTCATGGCCAGCTTCCATAGGATTGGCTTCATCTGGCGTTGCTCCTCCGTTGACTCTTTGCGGAACTGAACGCGCTCCTTTCCTTTGATATAGGGTCGGTTTTCATTTTTCTTGAATTGTGAGAAACAAAAAAATTCAAACAAATAGACAATAAACAAAGAAAATTCAACCTCAGAAGATGCCTTCCGCCAACTGACACATTCCTGATACAGTGATGGTGGGGCTTTTTTGGTGTCACGATAGGGAAGCGACATCAAGGTGCAAGTGAAAATGTATGCAAACACAAGACGTCGAACAACAAAGCCCGCATGTGGTGTCCACGATGTAGTTGCGTTACTGTACAAGACTCCGAATTCACCCAGCACTGTGAAGCAAGGCTGAGTCCAAACATGTGGTGTGATCCAGGATACACAGATTCATTGGCTTCTATCTTGTCTTCTAAGAACAAGACAAAGTTAGAAGACCAAACATCTGGGGCAAGATTGCTTTGACGGTGGTGCATTCATGAGGCGTCCAAGAGGTCACGCATTTAGAGACAGCTCCAAGAAATTTTTCATTCAACCCAATGTAAATTAACCTAGAAAATCAAACTAATCAAGTCACTTTCCCCTTACAGCTTACTTTACAGAGTGAACCAACACCTGAGAATTGAGGGTATCAACGAGCTGGATGTCAGACAGTGAAGGGAACTCACCCTTTTGGTGAAGTACCTGCTAGCCTTGATGATCATGTCAGTGATGGTTATATTTTCTGCTCTAGCAGCCATCATCAAAGCTGTCTTGCCGTTCTGTTAAAGAATTCAAGAGGTGTCAAAATGATGAGAAGCCTCTCCTTCACGCCTTTTATTCCAACTGGAATTCTCAATTCTCATACTCACTTTATCGATTTGATTCACCCATGCTCCAGCTATCAGTAGCGTCTCCACCACATCCGTCAAGTTGTTCTCCGTGGCTTCATGCAAAGCGACACGCTTCTTCTATTGTGAAAGGTACAAAAATCAAAAGCGTTAGTTTGAGAAGACAGGTCATGTTCAGACAGAGTGACATAACTTCCTTTTCAGAGTGCTCTTGATTACAAGCAACCAACTCCTGGATGTCAACACGTGTGACGGTATGCTGTAGCCCCATCTCGTACAACCACAAAGCGGTGGCACTGTCATGCATATCTCTCATGCAAGACTTCTGGTCTTGTGCACATTCTGACAAAAACTGATAGTGTATACATGTACCTGCTATGCCATAACTGTGGAAAGAAGCGTGTGCATGCAACCAACATTTCCACAGCCTTTCTCCAAATGTACTTCAGAAATGTTTATCACGCCTGACCTTCTGAAGCATTTGGTCAACACCCCAAGATTCATGCTTCACTCACATCGTTAAAGACATTGACATTGGCTCCTTTAGCTATTAGGGTCTCCAGTGCCCCAGTTTGATTGGCAATGGCAGCAAGATGGATGGCCGTGTTGCCTCCCTGACACTGGGCATCCAGGTCTACTCCGAAGTTGCACAGCACTTTGATGACTGACGAGTGGTTGTTTTGGGCCGCAAAATGAACGGCCGCCATCACTTTCTGGGCAAGCAAATAACACAAATGAGGAATTTGGTTTTTCCTGCATTAGAAGACCATAGACTTTTACACAACAGGGTGTGAAAAATGTTTTTGATATTGGAAAATTGACAACTCTGCAGTATCAAAGTATTAAATCATTATGTTCCATCCCAAGATTAGTGTTTTCTAAAAAAATCGAACTATTTCCATTTGACGGTGTTTCACTGAACGCTTCAGTGTTCAGTGAAAAACTATACTGATACTGGCAAATTGCGGGAAACCTTATGCAAACACTTTTCAACAAGAGGACTGTCCTGTATTAAGATGGCTACCACGCAAAGCCTCTATTAGATTTCAAAGCGTTACATACTACTGGATATGATTATTTTTCATCTTAACATTGGTGTTTCTCAAAAGAACGAACTACTTCAATTTGATGGTGCCACACTGCACACTAAACATTCGAAACAGAACCATGCTTAAGCCATGCTTATATTCATGTACACTTATAACTTACTGTTGTGCTGATGTGAAAAGTACTCCGTGCAACACAACTCACATTCTGAATGCCCAAAACAGCATATGGATCATTATTATTCATTAACAGTCAATGCCTGCTGGTACCTTTGCCCTCTGGTGTCCTATCCCCTCTATCACTATTTGAATCTGTGTACATGAACTATGTAATGTGTGTTGGCAAGCAAGCACGCCAAATTCCTTCACACTGTGATCTATAAAAGATTTCTGGCTTTCAGACATAAACATCCTCTACATTCTAGAAAAAAATGATCCCGCTCAAATCCACTTACCCTTTTTTCCTGGGAAGTCAGTGACAACATGAAAGAAAAAAAAGAGGCAAAGTAAAAACAAGTTGAGAAAGCATTTCCTAATTTATCAACATCAAGATGCCCTTCCAAACAATTCCTTTCAAAACATACCAATAGAAATTTCCTGTACCATGAAGGCATCTTGCTCTTAAAAATTCATCTCTCATATGTCAAATTCAAATATTTTATAAAGCCTCAGAGAATAAAAGCCTCACATGGTCCTTTGCAACTACCTTAAGATTGAATTTACAAACATGGAATATTGACAGAACCTGTCCAAACAGTTTTTACAAGCAACCTTTTAACAGGTCAGTGGCTGGAGTAGTTCTGGGATTAAGTTAAAAGCTCGAGATGTTGAAGATGGAGAAACACAAAGAAAAGTAAATACAATTGACAATATGTCAGTGGTCGCAAGAAACGTTAACAACCACTTGATTTGGCTGAGCTACCTGCCTACCTACCTACCAGATGAACAACCTGTCCCACAGATGTACCCCTTGGAATATCTAGTATGACCTGAGGAAAGTTAATCCTAACAAAGACGCCTTTCCATAGGTACGTTTTTATGATGCGTTGCTTATACCCTGCGTTAATGCGTTTCATTTTCACGGACACGAAAATCGACCCCCCCATGAACGTAACACATGTATGCACTGCGTTCGGCTGTCAAAACCACCTGAGGCAATTTGGACGGATACGCAACGCTTGGCATGTGGAAAGGCGCCTTTAAGCCACTGGTCCAGATGGTGCACTGGCCAACTTATTAAGGTATTTGCCTATGAACTCAGTTAAGTATTGATAAACATTCTCATTTGTTCTTTCAATGATGGGGAAGTTGGAAAAGCGCCGCTGTTGTCACAGTGCTGAAGCAGAGCTCCACCCTCATTAGACAAACAACCAGCACCGCCTAGTTCTTTCTAACTCTATTTTTATGACGTTAGCTGAAAGTTTCATTTGTGGTTGGATGTTAAAGGTACAGTCCATCATTAGTCATTTGTGCGTAATGTTCATCTGAGGCAACCAAAGTCCTCAAAATCTAAAGAAAAGTAAAAACTAACTCTTGAAGTTTCAGCTCAGTGAATGCTGTATATTCAGAGAAAAGTACTGTTCTAGGATCTCGATTTCATTTCACAAGTTGCATAGTCACGTTTTGAACTGCGCCTGAATTGAGAGTCCCGGACAAGTGGCTTGGCGATCTTGAGCACTGAACTGACATGACATAGCAACTGCAGGTGTGTGTGTGAATCAAGTCAATACTTTCGTGCTTCAGCAAATTAAAAAGGAACTATTAATGGCAATATCCAAAACTGTGGCCTTTCATTGCTTTCTTAAAAATGACAGCTTGCCCGGAAGAATCGCTCCACTGTCTTTAAAGGAAGTATGCCTTTCCACAATAATTTTGTTAGTTACTTTAAGGACACCTGCAGATATTCGGCTGCCCCTTTAAAATACATTGGCCTTATCACTGATGAGAGACAACAGTATTTCATGCTTCTCCGAATGGGGCAACCCTCGAGGCACCAAGTTTCAGCCTTTTGGGGTTCCAAATTATCATTAATGATGCCGCTGTGAGTCGTAACTCTGAAATCTGTCTATAGTTTTACTTATGTTGATGGTTTTAGTTATGCTGAGAATACAAAAGTCAATGGCATGACCACTTTACTAAGCAATTCAGAGGATTCTTGAGGTTCTTGAGGTTTGTTTCAATAATTCTGACTTATGCAAAGATTCTAAAAAGTTCCAGCACGTGAACAGAGGATTCTTGGTCTCTCGTTCCATGTAGATCTTAAACGGTAGGCCCAAGCTGATCACTCGATCAAACAAGCAAGCAATCGACTTTTTCTGTTCCGATCACTAAAACAATTTGGGTTTGATCGTACCCAAGTGTTTCTATTGAGACTTACATTGGCTTTCACATTGCAGTCCGCTTTCTGCCTGAGAAGGAGATCAACGACATTAGCATGCCCTTCCTCGGCTGCATACAACAAAGGGGTCATGCCCTCCTATAGTGACAAAAGAAGACACCCCCAAAAAAGACACAAAATGGTAACATGGTCAGGAAATCTGCAAACAGCAAACAGCAGATCGGAAAAAAAAAAGAAGTGACGAGCAAAGGGCTCATGTTCACCCACAGCCCAAAAAAGAAAGAAAAAGAAATTATACCATGGATGTTATAAAAAAAGGTCTGGACTCACATGCCCACAATCAACACACAAAGGTTGCTGAAGCCAACGGCGGCCATCCTACTGTGCCAAATAAAACAACTGCTGTGGAAAGCAAGCCAACAATCACCTTTGCATTTGGCACAGTAAGATGGCCGCCACTGGGCTCAAGAGCATTCTTAGTCCATTCTTCTTCATACAACGCTCATGAATTAAACAGTGGCACAGTCAGAAGAAAATTAAAACAACAAATGGAAGAAAGGTCAGTAGAAAAAAGATAATAAAAATAGAAAGCAAAGAGATCATGCCCTCCTCAATCAAAACTAAAATCAAACACTAAACAGCAGCCATACAGGAAACAACCACAAAGAAGAATGGGAAGGTCAGAAGCATGAAATGACTAACAGCAAAGGGGGCATTCCTTCCAACAGAAACAAAAAAAATGAACATGAAACAGCAGCAGGGTAAGAAAAATTGAAATACAAAGCAGCACCAGAGTTACTTATATAGTAGGGTCATGAAACGGCATAGAGTGAGGGATTATGCCCACCCACAACTGTATCAAACACGGGATAGCACCAACTCAAAAAGGGCAAAGGTATAAAACAGGAAGGTCAGATGCATTTGACATTGAAAGGGAGAAATAACAAAGTATTACAGCTGTGCCACTTAAAAGCTACCAGCAAGATTCAAAATGGTTTGACTCGTAAACTGATGGCTTGGCAGTCAGATGACATCTATCTTTAATTCTGCATTTAGGTTTCAGAAATGCTGAATCTCGTCCGGCGTACCTGGTTTCTGATGTCGATTTCCAAGTTGTTCTCAAGGAGGAGATTTACCATTTCGATGTGGCCTCTCTTGGCAGCCAGATGAAGGGCTGTGCTACCATCCTACAACACAGAAAAACCCCAAAACTGTCCTGTAAAATTGTCCCGGCTTGGTTCACAGGGATCTGTGTTGCATTGTGGGTCTGCATTCACAACAATAACATTAACGCTTCAAGTTCCACCAGTGTAAACATCAGAAGACTGAGCGCAAGAGATTTGCTTAACTTACCGAGGTTCTGGCTAGCTTGTTGCACTTGACCTGTATGAGGTACTCCGTGGCTTCCAAGCGGCCGTTCTCGGCGGCCAGGTGAAGAGGGGTTTTGTTACTCTAAAAAACAGGACCATGCCAAATAATTAGGAAGAAAAGCCAATGCTGTACCCAGAATCTATTAAAAAAGGACGATTTACAGGCTATATCTGTGAAAATAAGACTTACAGGCAAAATTCATTTCAAAGTATTAACTGAGGTTTATTAAACCTTTTAAACCCTTTTATTAAATCTTTTTAAAAAAGAGGTGCTCGTAGTGCATAAAAATAACTGGTTCTTTTCTGAACCTCAGCAATTCACAAAGGGTTAATTTTTACACGGTGCTACCTCAAACCCACCGACACTGTATTCTTCATCATGCAAGCTTTCAAATCTCATCAAACGCAAACATACAAGAGTGACAGCAAATTGAAAGATGTGGTGTATGCCGACAAACATCCATGGGGATCTTCAGTTTGTCGTTTTCACATCGAGCGCATCGCATTGTCTGCACCTTTGACGTCTTGTGACAATGGCAGTCAACTACAGAGTGAGATGTCGGCAATCAGAAGGGAATAAGATCAAGTGCAAATGTGTATACAATTCCTGAGAAACCAATACTGGACTTGATGAGCAAGGTAACAATAAAGCACCTGCTGCTCTGACAAGGTGAGTGTGTGCTTTTAAAGGGTTAAACTAAACTCCAACTCATATGAGGAAAAAGAGGCCAACTTAATCTCTGCAACATAATTCATCCTATATTGGTGTCTGCCTTGTACATTCTTGCTTAGTTCCCTTAACAAAAAACAACTCTGGTCGATCAAGGGTCTCCTCTCCCACTTCAGAGCAACCCATGAATATTCCAGAATAGGAGAAGCTGCAAGTCAATCTAGAGATGTCTTTAACCTTCTCAAAAGAGACAAAAGGCCTCAAGCACAGTCAAGAGTGACTCCCACATACAACATCTTGCTTGCAAATCTGTGCTGGCCAATCTAGTACACGTATTTCCTTGTGTCAAATAGTAGGGAGTTCTTCAAGCATATTTACCATTGGAACCAGACATAACAAAAGCTACATCTCAAATTAATCTTCCTGTTTGATCCTCGCTATACTATGAAAAGTGCTTCATGCATATTCAAGAGCCAGCAAAAATTCTGACGATCAGACCAAAATTATCAGGAAACTTTTCATGCAGGTCTATTTATAATAAGGAATGGCTTTTGGCTCATATTCACAAACCACAAAAAATAGCTGCAGGTCTGCCTAGAATATCCTGAAACAATTCTGTACAAGAAGGACCTCGTGCAGAAATCTGAGAAACAACCTGTACCTCCAATCAGTGCTGGCCAGTGTAGAAATCCCCTGGTAATCAGCCATGCAAATGAGGACCTCATGCATATTCATGAGCCAGATCAAACTACCTGAAACCAGCTCCTGTTCTCCATCAGCGAGTCTTCCCCTCGGAACTGAGGCTTAGGCTCCCTTATCTGTGGACTCTTCCTGCTGCCCAGGGGCAAGTGACCGCTGAGGTAATTGAAGGGCGCTACAGACACTCGCCTGATGTTACTCATCAGTGAGTTATTGGACATTCGGTGCACGCTGCTTGTGGCATTACCACTCAAGGCATTATTAGAAATCCAGGCTGCCGCGGGAGTTTTGTCCTTGGGTTGCGCGGGTTGAAACGACACAAACTTTGAAAGCCTCTTCTCACAAATCAAAACATGACCCAGTTGGTCCGTTTGATAAACACACCTGGGTGATCTCATGCAATTTGACAGGGACCACATTCAACATGAAATCACCACAGTCTTCCTCATCAAACCTCGCCATCAAATACAGGCATGTACATGCATGTCCCTACTTCTGTACTTATTTCCTGCATATATACGTGCCTGTACCAGTGCAGTTACTGTACATACCAGTGACAAGAAAGCACCCTGCAACTTTGCAACATCTGCTCTGCACACAGTTCATTCCACACTACAATCCAGACATTTGGAAATCTTGGTTTTTTTTTTCAATTCACAAAATCAAACCAGTTTATATTTGAATCTTGGGGCGTTTGGCCTGATCCTGTTTCGAAGAAACGGCTTAGATGTTTGGCACTGCCATGCTCCAGTAAAGGAAGAAATTGGGGACAAAAACGATCAATTTTCAGGTATTTGTGCAACCATTTGGTAGTCACAGCAACTTTTCCCAAGTGCATGTAACTGTGGCAGAGGGTGAACTGTACTGAGTTGCAGGGTGGGAGGTTGGATACCATACCTGGCCGGTGCACCGCTGCTCCAAAAAAGAGCTCTCCGGACGGAACCTGTTCTTCTTTGTGGCGTCCTCCTGGCTCTTTTTATCTTTTAGGCCTACATAGCTGGCTGCAGCGCCAAACAGCCCAGTCATCTTGAGGATTCCAAGGACAGAGAGTGCACACACAGATACAATCATGCAAGGGTGGATTTCATGAGTGAGCAGGCACAACCAGTTGGGAGGGGTCTTGTTCAGTGACTGTGAGCAATCCAATAACTAAGGAGCATTCCAACATGTCAGGCATGCAGGGGGGCAAGTTAAAATGTTACCACTATGGTCAAAACAGTAGTTGACCAACACCTGATCAAAAAGTCATTAACAGTTTGGACCACCTGTCATTTGGAAACAGGCCCCCTGCTGGTTATCTATAGCCAATTTCAGTTCTCAGTGTGGAGGGAATCCACAGATTTCACTGACCCACAGTGCTTGAGAGTGGCAACTTAGGGCAGCATGTTAGATGGGATGAGATTTCAACACAGAAAGTTTGACAATGGACATTTGAGTGTTACTGTATTGCCCATGCACATTGTTAAAGAGCAAATGACGGACGGTCAAAATATAGTTCACCTGCTGAACTGCACTGCGGAAGCCATTTTGCACCAATCCTGCACTTGCAGGGAGTGAATGCCCTGGCTGGCCCCATGTTCAAGGGACCCTTTTTGTGGTTGGGAAATTTGAGACACACGTCTGGGCCCCCAAAAGACTGTCAGGGAAATAAACTTGTCCCTGTAATACTAGCTACATGTATTGTTCAACATTCAAGCAGTCCCCACAACCACTGTGCCAGTGAGTGCGCATGTGTGCCACCCACAATTCCAAGCCACACAAATAAATGATCACAATTTTCAAAAGAGAAAGGCACATCAACCAGAAGAGAAACTTTTTTTGAAAGATCAATCCGTGTTTACTTCTTGATATTTAAACTGCAGAAGCCAAATTAAGAGCAAGCTCAGGTGATTATTTCAAGGTCGAACCTTTCCATGAATGACACACTACAGGCAATCCCTAAAGACTTGCAACAGATGTCTGTCTCCATGTGCATTGACGTCATCAGTATTTCCCAATACACGTAGACCATCTGTCATGATCTGTGTATGCTGGCAGAGCATATATGAGAGGCAGCGGAAAGTTCCAAAATGTAAATCCCCCAGATAAAAGCCCAAAGGATTGCGTTTCAGCAATCACTTACATATTTATTTCATTCTTTACAAATCAGGTTTTGTGGGGCTATCTAGTGCTGAATCCACCCAAAAACCTCCAGCTATTTTTTGCGCAGCAGCTAAATGAAAGTCATAAGAACCATTCAAAAGAACCAGTCATAAGAACCAGTCACAAGAAATATGCACTCCATAACATTTTGACTGGTGACCAGTTTTTCCAAGCAGATAAGTAAAATAACAACACCAAGAGAGGTCGCGTGTCATTTCTTTCAAATGAAATAAAGAACACTTAAAAGGGTACTAGCAGTGCACGATTTCTGTTTGAATGTACGGTCTTGGCAAGTGCGCTGAGCCTAGCCCACAAAACCTCCCACCAGCCCTTCTCTCTTTTGCAGCCGTCTGACTAACCCTGTCATTTCATGCTCTGGTGATCATTCACAAAAACTGTGCTGTTTCTTATTCATTCCCTCTTCCTCCCTCATTGATCCCCTTTTCCTGAAAAAAATCTGTCCCTTCAAAATGTGTCAGAAAAGTTAAGCTCCATCTGTACCTTTCCTTGCACTGCCCCAAAGCTCGGCAGGAGTCCAGACTCGTCGTCATCGGAATCCATGCTGTCCTCCTCTAGGAGGTTTTCCACAATGTACCTCAAGATGTCCACGTGGCCGCGAGAGGCCGCACAGTGGACGATGGTGAGTCCTTGCTGTAAGCAGAGAATGGTCAACTGAATTTGCGGTCCGATTTTTTTTAGAGTGGTTTACTTCATGTAATGTGGGGCATGCTGATTGACATTGACAGGGCCTCAAGACGAGGGCTGTGTCCATAAGTTGTGGCTATGGCTGGAAATAATATGTGGGCTTACGGAAATCATATGCATGTGATCCTCCAGGTCATAGCCAACTGACTCAGTTATGGCGACTGTTTCTCTTTACGGGAGCTCTAAGGTTGACTAATTAACTGTAATTGACCTGCGGCCAAATGTCATCACAGAAGGGTAGCTCTAGTCTACTTTCCTCCAACCTGTACTACAACATGCAAACGTATGTAGCAAGTTTTTCAGACCGATTATATCAGAATTGTGCAACCATTCTGATAACCTGGTGTCAATTTGTCCAATCGTATGTAGCATCAACTACAATCTCTAAATTTTCAGCTCTGCTTAATGTAACAAACTCCAGCAAAGCTGAAATGAGAACCCCCACAAGAAAAGAGGGTCCTGTACCATGCGACGCACTTGATAAATGCCAGCCTCAGGCACAATATACAGTTTCAGTTTCTAAACGCTCTCTGCGTTGACTAAACCCCACAGTCTACAAATGCTTACGACCGCTGTTGCATTTCAGCTACGTTTGGCTAATGAGTACCCTAGTGGCAGTGTTTCAACAACAGCCGCCACCCACTGCCAATTCAGTATTTCAGCAAGTTACAGTCATTTGAGAATGAAGCATCCGACACCAGCTCAAACCGTTTTGGGTGCATGTGAGTCAACGGTTGGCTGTGCTGACAGGGGTCACACTACGTCATCATTTTGCTTCTATTCACTTACCTTATTTTCAGCCTTGACCAGAGCTCCACCATTGCACAGTGCTTCAATTGCTGTCTTCTGTCCGAACCACGCAGCCCACAGCAGTGCGTTCATGCCAAACTGCAAAACATGAAAAACAGCTCCATTCGATCCAGCTCAATTTGATTCAACCATTTCGGCATAGTGTTCCAAGATTACTTGTGCACGTCTGTGATCAGATTTCACAAAATGAGTCTCCATTTAAAAATGCACTGCACCATCGCAGGGCTACTTAACAGAATTTATTAATTTTTAAACTGGACTTTTATTGCTATTCAGTAATTTCAGAGAATCAGAAAAAAAAAATTCAGTAACTTGCTCCGGTAGTGCTTGAACCCAACACCCCTGACTCACGAGTTACCCCTACAGATGTCTTATCACTTTGAATCACAGTAACTCGTAATGATCGTGAAGGAGAATGCCCCCCAAAAAGTTTTAATATCTTGCACTTGATTTCAGAAATCTGGCAAAACCAGTGCTGTAGTCGAGTTCATTACAATTTACAAGTCCCTGCAAGTCCATCACAAGTTCATCTAGTCTTAAGCCAAGTCATAAGCTTCTCACGTGAACTGTGACAAAAGCACTCCTTTGCCATTTTTCACTTGGCTACTTATGGCTGGTCTTATGAAGGGACTTGTGAAAGGACTAGTTATGGACCCGACTTGGTTGTGTGAGCGTAGACAAGGTACAAAGATTTACAGCTGATCTCTCAGTAATAGAGTCCTGAGATGTTGAGTTTTCTCACGCAGTGCACGCTTGATTTGAGCCCCTGAAGAGGGCTTGGCAATGTAGTGAACTGCACCAATAAAACGGAGATGCTGAGTGCATGCATGTACATGTACTTGTTGGGATAGTCGCATTACTTTTACTTGGCAAGGGTGGGGTTACCAGCCAAGATGCAATGCAAAACATATGCCTGCGACTGGTTCCCGGCTCATTGTCGCACAGCAGCTAAATGCTTTACTCTACTGCGCTTAACGTTGTGTGTTAGGCAAATTTCTTAAGTGCAAAATCTGCTTAAGCACGGAAAAACCTTGCTTGACAAATCAGGTTACCAGCCAAAACTCTGTATGACGTATGTTGTTTTGGAATGGTATTCACCTGCTGTTTGGTTAACATGACAATCACACAGAATTTAAGCTGGTAACTTTTTTTCAGCAAGGTTTTTTGCGCTTAAGATAAGTTTATGATTAAGCAGCTCTATGAAATTGGGCTGGTGCTGGCCTCACCTTGTCCGCAGCATCAACGTTGGCGTCGTTATCAAGTAATGACTTGACGACCTCCACGTGACCCTGGCCCGCAGCTAGATGGAGGGCAGAACGGTCTTTCTATCAGGAAGTCAAGAGGTAAATCCAAAAGCGATGTGAGTTTGACAGATCTGATTTTATTTTTACATGAGTTGGGATTCTTGGGAAGTTTTTGGTAAAGTGCATGTCCAACAATCATAAATCTGACAAATTTTGCCTTAATTTTAACGTTGAGAGATTCAGAAACCTGTTCTATCTGTAAACTGCAATGAAGAGTTTACGATTTGGAAGAAAGAGAACAACTCCATCTTCTTACTTGCTGGAAAACTAAATCCTCTCATTTCTTAAAATGAATCCTTTAACACACTTATGAAGGTAAATGGCACCTTTGCCTTCATTTCTGATTTGTTTACTTCCATGGGTGTACAAAAACGTGATGTACTGATGACAATAGTATGGTGCTGTGGATGCCACACTTTTGGTTGTTTGCCACCGGTGATATGTGGTCCATGCTTCTTTGTACACCGTTACGGGTCCATGGCACCCTCATCTTGTTTCACTGGGTGTCAAAAATTCAATGGACCACACCACAGTAGATTGTAATGACCCATACATGTATGATGTACAATCCTTCCCAAGAGTACAGGTTGTTCTTGTGACTGGTTAGTGTTACATGTCGATTATTCTAATTGTTGGCATAAACCTACCCAGTCAGCCAGTACTGTACACTTACCTCATCCATGCAATTGACGTTGATTCGATCTTTGATCATTTTCTCAACTTCCGGCAGGTTGCCTGTCCGGGCCATTTCATGGAAAATCTTTTCCTTGGGAAGTACTGTTAGGACATACCAACAAATAACAGGAATTGGACAGTTAGCCAGTTGGAATACTCACTAATTTTCTATGCTTTGACATGTCTGACAACATGTCCATCCATGCAGAGCTCTGTAAAAGAGCTGTTAGAATTTTGACAGCTGATTGACTACTCAGTTGCCCTGACAGAATGTACAATGCGCAATCCTGCTTCTCCTAAGCCTTTGGCAAAGAAGAAGGTTACAGTCCTAGAAATGTTTTGAAAGGGAAGACAGTTTGGGCTTGTAAGGAGTCCCAAAACCTGGGGGAAAAAGTAATGTTAAATCGTCAGTTATCCAAGTGTTTAATCAGCATGCTGATTAAATATCAGTTGGATCATGTTGATACTACGGCATAAGCAGTAGAAAAGATGTGAGTGACCAATCCGCCTGTGTTACAATTAGTATCCAAGATTTGACATACATGTAGGAACATCAAAGGAAGTTGATGTTTGATACCCACTCTAGGTAACGTGACTCAGCGGGTGCAATCGGTCAATTCGATGAATGGTTCCTAAGCAAAGCACCTTGGATCTGATTGGGGTTGACTGATGCTATGCAGCAAACATAACTGGTACATGTACATCACCATCTCCCCCAGAGCTGTGGGGTCCGCTGTCCACCATGCTTGAGGGAGCACAGCTGAAGACAGACCCCACAGCAGAAGACGGATCTACTTCTGAGGGTACATGATGACCATATCATGAATAACTGCAGCTGAGAGCATTCTCTCATTTACACTAGGCAGAAACAGGTTTCCTTATCTGATCAAATACATGTACTCTCTTTTTTAACTACAAAGAGAAAAACCTCATGTGACCAACAATCCTCAACACAAGCTTAACATCAGTACCTACATGTAGGTATTTCATGCATAGCTACATGTATACATGCTGAGGAAGTTGGACATGTGGGATGTGTCAATTTACAATGGAGGCTACTAAACTGGCAAGGCTCAAACCATGAGAAGTTGTCAGGTTGTAAATGGGCAACATTCAAAATCTTTCTAGACATGCTAGAAAATACGTAAGATTTGGTTTTGATAGAGACATGCATAAATGAGTGAGGGCGCTGTTCCTTTGGGGACTCATTTTCTTTAATTGGAAATTGTAATTTAAAAATTTCTTCTGCATGCTCTAGCTCCTCTATTTAATTTCCAATTTCAAAATTTTTGAAATTTCAAATGAAGCCAGCATTCAATTCAATAAATAAGGCACGAATAAGAACAAACATTTTATGAAAATATGAATTTAAGGCTTTTCAAACTCCACAATCACTTTTGTGTAAAAAAAAAGAGTTTGCTCTACGTCAAACATTTACAAAAAAACATCCCAGACATCTCAAAATATCCCTGCCTTAAATCAATATTTTGTGCATAACAAACTTGTATCAAAATGTTTCTTATGACATCCTCTTGACGATAAAAAAAACAAATACAAAAACAAAAAACAAAAAAATTGGGGCCTACACTTGAAAGACTCTGACAATGAGCCTCCCTAGCTTTGATAATGTTGAGGACATGCTTAGAATAAACAGGTCCCAGTATTGATGAAGGAATGTATAACTTATTACGGGTCAAACATGTCAAGGGTGGGGTTAGCACCACTAGTACAAGGCAATGGTCATTGGGGAGGGTGCTGGGAAATAGTTGGGGTTCAACTAAGTCAGATAGTGTGGAAAACAAAGAGTCGATTCAGAGTCTGACGTCTTCCACCAGCAGACCAGCACCATCAACCATCAACTAACATGGTTGATTCAAGGCCCTGCTTAAATTCTTCATCTTAGGACGAATTCTCCATAGGACATGTTAAGCAAGCATGGTTAGGTCAGGTACATACATGTTGCTGTAGTGTTACTGTCGCGACTGTTAGTACTGTTTCAGTGTTTGTGTTAGTCACTTTTACTTAACGTTAGTGTTATGAGGGGGAGGACTTACAGATATCTTCATCCTCCGAGTCATATCCTGTGCCTGTTCCAGAATGCGACATTGTGACATTTACTGCTGCAATCTCATGCATAAAAACGCTTCAACTAACATGAATTCCTCACATGATGATACATGTACGGGTATAACTCAACATGGCCATTTTTTTCCCCTACGGGATGGGTGCTTCTGTGAAGCTACATGGACGGGTGAACAGGTGGATACGTACGACTACGAGGCCTTTTCCGTACGTGTACAGTCGGCCTACAGGGTACAAGGCCCTGTTTACGCACGCACCGCTACACTTTTAGAGTTTAGACTGGTGTGACTGGTCGCGTCACCCCAATCCACGGGCCACGCATAGACTGGCATCCTGCTCAGATTTACGTCATTTGCGCTTAAGCTTGTTATGCGTACATGTACTGTACATGTAGTACTGTACATTTACAAACATGTACACGTACTGTACAGTACTATGGAGGCATTTTGGGTAGGCGGATCGGACTGAGACTTGTGGGAAGAGATTTAAGAGATTCCCAGTGCCCATTGTAGAGCCAACACCAAGCAAGGAAACTGAGCCACTAGTATACCTTTAATTATCACACAGTTCATTCGTTAATAAAAACGTGACCTGACTTGAGAAGAGTCTGAAATCACGGAATGGACGTCAACGCCCCCCAGAGACTGGTATGGTGGTACATGTGTTATATGGGGAGAGTACCATTTTGCCATGATCTCTACTAAAATAGAAAACCTTTAAGAAAGAAAGTAGTCAGAATTTCCCAGAAAGTGTATCTTTGAGTAATAAGAGTGTATAGCTCGGATGGGAGCGGTGTAACATGTTAATTTCGAAAAATAATTTGCTTTCTCGTTCAGCGTTATAAATAGGGAAACATAATATTGCTCTCTCAGAACCAAACGTTAATATCTTGCTCTGTCGGGGCAGCCTATTTTTACTCATTATAGCCAGTTTTTCTGAATTTGAAAAAAATTATGTGGAGAAGAGATGCCCGGCGTCACGTTGATGAGGTTAATATAACATATAATAGCCTGCCTTAGGCATACAAACTCGATAATCTGTATCTTTGGACAGTAAACATGTCATTTATCCTGTCAATCCAAGGCAAAGAATTTTCTTGCCGAGTCAAATCAAGTGGCAAGTCAAATTTGCCAAGTCAATTCCCGAGTCTTTTTTTCCCAACTCAGTGAGCTTATTCGACGTTGCACATTGAACACCGTACTTGTACACCTTCAGCTCCGTAACTTTCTGTACCGGGGACTAAAGGGGGGAGCATTACTGATGAGGAGCGCCTTTGCACTATTTCTTCCTTTTCAGAACTATTGAAATACAGGTTCTGTTAGGAAGATCAAAAGATATCTCCAAATTCGCCTTTCCCCTTCTCAACAAGAAAAAGTGTGTGCTTGTGGGGGATGCTTCAATAGCCCACCTCCCGGGTCAAAAAGTGTGGAGGGATATATTCCATCCCCTGGGATTTACGCCCCTAGCACCTTTTCTGCCAATATGAGGTGGCCTGTGTGTTTGTTTTGCAATACGTGCATAGCTCTGATGGAGTAGTCTGTGAATTTTACATGATACCTTGACGCTTAAATGAAACATCATGAGACAGGTTTGCTACAGTATTGTGCCTCTATAGACATTTTCCAGTGATATCACGATCGTGCTGGACCTCTGATGTGTTGTGATGGTAATGAGTGCATAGTGTTGTGATGGTAATCCACTTATTCAAGATAAACTAGTCAAGCGTGCAGCGTTCGCACGTGCGCTTGCACGTGGTTGAAGCTGCCCGTAGGAATATATACAATCGCCGTGGCCAAGGCGTGCTACACGTGGTGCCGCGGTGGTAATGTTTACATTTAGTCACGTGTGTGAAAAATGTCTCTACACACAGACACTAGTCAGTCGGTGTATAGCCCGAGTCATTTTCTCACACAAGCCAAACAGAAAAATGCGACTCGTCGTGTCTCCGGCCCATGCTCCAAGCCTCCTTGGTTGTTAGTCCGACATCATTAAATGCTCTCCGTATGTTCAGTACCAAATTGCACACATTGACTAAAAGGTTAGTTTCTTGGAAGAGAACTAAAATTGGAAAGTTGGAGTCAAAGTCTCAATAGCCCTGTTAGTTGAGAAATAGCCAACTGCAGTAGGCTATAAGCATCAGTCTTAACAACGGTGCAACATCACAATCGGAAAGCCCAATTGTGCCAACAAAGTATACATTTTCCGTCAGCATGACAGTAATTCGTTTTAAAGAATTTTAACGAATTTTTTAATTTTCGTTTTGACGAATTACTAATTCGTAATAACGAATTACTTGAGCCTCCAAATGGCGCTGTTTTGCGTTGATTCCCATGTGATTCGAGGTATGCATGCTTCATACTATTTTTCCATGGCCATGGGCGCCTAGCACCTGACATGTCTCTGCTATGTTTGATGTGGAGAAATAACGAACGCCAGCAAGGGGCTTTGTGGATCAGTGCGTAATTTGTTAAAACGAATTACATGTCAGGCTGAAAATTTGTACTTCATTGGCACGATCGGTACCCATCAGTATTATTGTCACTCTGAAGAACCGCTTCTCATTTGCAGCGAAGTGAAGTTGTCATCACAAAATTGTATCGAAATTCGCTGAGTTGCAATGTGTTCACCTTAATTTGCAACTTCACAGCAACCTCGATCTTTCTTTGATCTGACGTCATAATTTGCCTTCTCCTTTAATATCAATCGATCGCCTTTAAAGTGAAAATACACTGAACTGCATATATACTTACGCTGCCATCTGTAACTTCTCATAACTGCACAAAACAATACAACAGTTTTCTTTGTTACTTCCTCAAACATGTTAGTCATAACTGGACAGCATTATTGAAATGGTTCTGAACAAATTGTTGCAAACTGCTTGCTGGCCACAGCAACCTGAAATATACTGTCCTTGAAGACAACATAACCAAACACTAATTTTTTTCGACAACATGGCTAACGCCCTACGTCAGAAACAGGCAACCGCAGGGGGGTAAAACAAAACGATTATGATCTGGGGACCATTACGGGAAATGTGCAGATACAATATCGTATAATGCATAACCGGTTTGCGTCGTCATTTCAAGAAACATCCGTGAGTCATGTACATGAGCAGACTGATGTAGCTTGAGTATGGTGTCCAGAATGAAACAACGTATAATAGGTATACAACCACCGAGATGTATTCTGAGCTTTTAGACTGTAATGGGCGCCACGATGGGGGAGGGGCAGGGGGGCGTTAGCACCCTGGGAAAAAAATAAGAAAAAAAATAAGAAAAGAAAAAAGGAAAGGGAGAAATGGGAAGCAAAATTATTATTTTGCTTTAAAAAAATACCCCAGAAGTGATGGATTGTTAGTTTGTTACTGATGAGTGCTTTTCCCCCTGGAAAAAAATCACTGCATTGCCCATCGTATATACGTATCCATGATTCGCCCCCTTCCCGGAAAAAAATCTTGGCGACGCACACGAGTATAATTATACGCATCTTGTACTTCGCGTACTGTTGATCCATGGCGTATCCAGCATCTAGAACTGTGCCGGGGTAGGGGGAAAAATAAGTAAGTTTTCTAAAGTGCAAGTCCATTTTTCACCTGTTGTATTCACCCCCACTTGAACGGCAACGATAGAATTCCTAAGGGTCCCTTTTCTGATGGTCAAATGTAAGCTGGAACACTGAGCGGTACCGTATTGATGCTGTTTTTCTCAAAGTACGTACAATCCACAACCGGCACAACCGATATACGATGAGACAGATTTGTCATTATTTTGAATTACTAGACAACAACAGTATATGGGTGTGTGTGGGGGGGGGTGCCGACACCATGCATACGACACTGGGGCGATGTTCATGATACAAGATGTACTGCAGAATCTTACATCAGAACGGCACTGAATTACATTTTGGTTGTTTAGAGGTCCAAATAAATTCTTCACAATCCGTCTTAATTTTTTCTCATTACGAAAATGATGACTCAATAGCCCCCCCCCAAAAAAGTGGGGATATATACCGTCCCATCCCCGGGATTTACGCCCATGGTTGCACAAAATCTAAAAGTGTCTATCATTTAAAAGCACTGTTATATTATCATTCCTGCTAATCAGGTTCACGCCATGATCCACCAAAGGGGAGACGTCAAGTTGATTTGAGCAAACCTAGCGGTTTCCCTGCACCCTCTCTCCCTGCATCACTGGGTTGCCATAAAGGACGAAGCAAGTAGGCCTGTATACACTGAAATTTCAAGGGACTACCTCTAGGCTTATGGAATATATTAAAAGAGACTTGTAACTGATACGGTCTGACGACTACATGAACATGCTGGGGAAAAGTCTTCATGGACTTACTTAAGAGAAAACGCAAAATATTTTGTAGTCGGAAAGCCAAGGGTTTTGTGATTGGAAAGGCATGTCACAGTTTACTCATGATACGTAAACCTTCAATATCATGAAAATGAAAGGTCTATAGACGCCTAAGAAGAAAACTGAAGTTAAAGGAGAGATTTCACACCCCTGGAGTTATTATTTCTCCCAAAGTATACAAACTCGAAAGTGTACAATGAATTTAAACACTCGCTTTTCCCGTAAATATTGTCCTTCTCAGCATGTATATTTGCGTTTGATTGAATGTGTACTGCCTTTTTCAATCATTGTTTGAAGAGGAGTTATGGGCTTACGACAACTCGAAACATGCAGAGGAGGAAGGAAGACAGGCGTATTCCACAGAGTTACGCAACTCTATGACCCTACTTTTAATCTACAGCCGAATAAAAATTTGGAGGCATTTTAAACGGGAACAACACCAAAATTACATCGCTTTTACGTTGCTTCCCTCTCTAAATGCATTATTCAATTCACGGTTATTTTTTTACAACTTACGTCTGTGTTCATGCAGCTGACCAGGAGTCGCTGTGAGATGAGTTGGGACACCAACATTTCCTGAAAAAGGACCCCAAATTATATTGATTATTTCTGATCTTTGAGCATTGTCCAATAGCCCCCGTGATCTACCTATTTGCTCCATCCATTAATAGTGGCGTGAGTGGTCATTTGCATCATTAAAATGCGTTCCAAGGCAAAAGCTAATCTGATCAATTTACCATTTTTCCCGTGCTTAGCCCTGATCTGGCGATGGCGCAGCCTGGCTTTCAGGCGTGATGCAGTGGACGTTCGAGATACAATCACCCCAGAGTCCCTCTGTTGCTCCGCGCTGTGCTGAGTCCTTCCCCCTCCTGAATTCGGCCACTCGCTTCCGTCAGTGATGATGGAGCCGTAACCGCTGGGAATGTCACCGGACTCTGTCAATCCGTCATTTTCATCTGCAGAAAGCGTCCCCCCGCGTCTCAATCTGCGCTGCCAGTGGCCCGTTTCTAATAAGTCAGCACAGTTTTTTGGAGCATGGTTACCATTATGAAAAGTGACACATCTGCTTCGGGCTGATGAGGCCGCAGGCTGACAGAACGACTCCGCCTCAACGTCCTCATCAACGGGTTTCAACAAAGTACCACTGTAACCACTGTAATAACTACTCATGTCGATCGCTTACGATGTGAATTCACAATGATTACTAGAAATACGAGTTGTTTCAAAGCACCAAGTCCATCGGACGAGCACTCTCGTCGCTATTATGTTACATATTGGCCACCTCAAGCCACACATAACGAATGTCCGTAAGAAAACTAACAGTCACAGTCACGTATTGATATAATATTCTCTGATTTGCAAAAGAGAAAAATATAGTAATGCAATAATGCTATTCACTGATGTGCATAGAAAACGTCAGAGTACCTGCACCTTTACTGGTGTGCATTGTCTCGTTTCGCACTAAATATTGCTGGTATAAGCATGCGCGGTGGGGGAACCTCAAGGGAGCGTGTGTACAATAAACGTCAACTTGAAAGCTGACGCATTTGGGCAGTCACAGATGTTCGTTGCCGATAAGTGTCCAGGTTGAGATTATCTTTTAAAGATGTAATTCAGCGATGGAGGCCATTAGTCGCCATATTAGGCTTAGGCCTGTGTGTAATTAAAAACATACTAAACCGAAATAAAAATAATTCTTGCCATTGTTGAATACGACTTGTAGGGTCCTATTAAGTTACCCGGCTGGGTCGTTATAAAAGTTGTCATCTCTCTAAAAATCGTCGTTGAGGGCAGCATGTTAATCAGCCAAAATTATGGCGTGCGTTTATTATATGGAATGCCATTATCTGCCGTCGTCCGTCGCGCGTCGCCTTTCTGAAAACTCAACCAAGTGTTTTTTTAGGAAAACTTTTTTTCCGCAAATGCGCTGACTTATTTCATGAAATTCTAGAAAGAAATCTGCTAGCCGATACAGACATTCCATTTTTATGCCTCGCAATTTCACCGTGAAATCCACAAATACTATACAGCAAATTGTTTTTGCCAATTGTGCTGTGGATAAGTAACTTTTTATTGAATGACAGGGGCAATTATCATTCGGTTATTTGTCAGAAAACATGACGTGCTGGGGTTTGTTGGTGTGTATTAGTCATAGTGATAGGCCGGTGAGCACAGGTAGTCCAGCATATCAGCTCTATTTATGGGGCTAACAAGGTAACATTACTGTTTAAAAGACTTCTGTGTACCTACGTGCAACTCAAGTCATGTCTAATTTGGAGTAGGCCCTATACAGCAGATTTCATCCTAGGTATACCCGCCCTCAAAATAATGTTGAATCAGTTCGTCTCTTATAAAAGATGTAAGGCCTAAGGAATCAAACATTGTAAGTAACTTATTATTTATATTCAGTTCAACGGTACTCTTGTATTTCCGGGGTATGATCTCTTGGGATATTGTGGAAGCACAGAGAGCATGGCGGATCGATCGAACAAATCAGTGCGAAAAGATCAAGGGTCAAAGTGAAAAATAGCACTATGCAAGCGTGAAAAGAGTGACGGGCGACGCACGACGGGCGACGGCAGATATGGAATTCCATAGACGTGTACAATATGTGGACGTGATACCTTGCAGTAGTTCCGGGGGGACTCGCCGCGCGGAGCGGCCCACGCATGCAGTGATCACGCACGCTACGAAGGCACGCCGTTATACGCAATAAGGCTGGCAATGGGCCTGCAGCGCATACGAGTGTGGTGCCCCCAGCCCAGCGGCGACGGTCAGTTGAAACTGAAGTTTTGAGGTAGATAGGCCTAAAACTACGATGGCCGGCCGCACTCGACCAAAGTCACTGTATGTCCAATAACTGCATTACGACTGCTGTCGTTCTCCGCAGAAAAGGCCCGATATAGGCTTAAGTTCATTGACATTTCCCTCACAAATTTTGCGCCGTGAGTTCCACATTCATATTCTTATCATTTACAAACGTACATATATTGAGTTCAGTGGTATTCAAAAGTTGTGACTAAAATTTTAATACAAGTCAAGTATTTCCAATGTTAGTATCAAAAATGTAACTTAAAATCGCACACAGAGTCGAGACTGCCGCTCGTGGCGGCTTTGCATGCACATGCAATCATGTGACTGTGTTTCGACTTACGCTGGGCCTAGAATGTCACTCGACAACACGCGACGTCGTGGAAAATAATGAGAACAGTCGCCGAGTTGTGTCTCAACTTTTATTTATAATTATAATGGGCACAAGAATAAATTACGCAAAAGCCTCCGCATCGTTATGTGGGGTTTGGGGCACGAAAGAAGGGAAAGAGGCAGTTAGGTCAACCCAACCCAACCCAGCCCCATCCAACCCAAACCATCCCCACCCAAACCCATCCCCACCCAACCAAAGCCAACCCATCCCCACCCAACCCAACTCATCCCCACCCAATCCTTCTCCATCCAACCCAACCCATCCCCAACCAACCAACCCAGCCTATCCTCATCCAACCCAAACCATCCTCACCCCACCCAACCCAACCC